ATAATAAAAATGTGTATGTTTGCTCTGATCGCAACTGAAAAATCTGCAAACTTGGAAAAAATTGATATCTTAAGATAAAGAGAAAAAAATAATGAGACTCTACTTTTCTTTGTTCCATTTTTTAATAACGTCTAACAGTATTACTACAAAAAAATCTTCATGCGCTCATGTTTCTCTCACTGGTGATCCAAAACAATTGATTTAGTGATCGTGACATCCAGGATAATTTTTTAAAACAATTTCAATGTAAAAAACAGAAAATGACTGATAAAATTTTTTTTATCCATAATGAATATTTAATCCTGATACTACGCAGAGACAGAGGAATGAACTCTCGATCCAAACAAATATCAAGTTGAATTTTCAATTTTTCGTCAAATAGGACAGTATTCGTAGAATTGCTCATATGTGGTTTTTCTGAACTAATAGCGCACGATGGTTATTAAATTGACGAACAAAATTAGCCAAAAATAGCAATGCGAGAACGGACGACGTTTCCGTAAAATTTTGTATGCTCTGGAAATACATTAGTACGAAGTTCTCATTTCGCCTTCAATTTCAAGGGATACAACTACTCTAACACTGGGATCCAAGTTGTTCTTTTCCAGTATCTTCCAGGATTTCTCAATTGGCTGTGTAGCTATAAACTGAAGGCAACATTTCCTTATGAACTTAAGAAAAATCGGATGCATGTATTGAAATGATAATATGCGTAATTTGACTCGGATATTGTGCGCTATTGCAATCGTTGTTTGTGCACTGTGCATTCATTCAAATCTTCTTGAGGCAAATAGCACAGAATTGCACTGCCTTGACCTGACAATTAAGACTCTTACAGCAGAAAAGTTTCCTATTTGCACATATTTCGAGGCATGGCCAAAAAATCAGGAGATTACAATTTTGGGACGCGGATAATTTTCACGAACTATGTTTTCCGAAACGCGGCGGCTAGTAACGCGCCCCTCCAGGAAAAAGCCATACGCGCCGGGATAGCTTAGAGTTAAAATACTTGTGACACGTTTATTTGAAAACCGACAATTGTTTATGACGGTTTTTGGCGGGTTATACTACACTCTATTTTCTTGTAATTATCAAGAGGAGTTGGGTATGCAGCTTTTTTTCTTGGCGAGGGATCGCAAAAACGCCAATGTTTTGAGTACCCTGTTTCAACTTGTGATGATGCATGAGTAGCCTTAGGACGAATCTATTTTATGAAGGATAATTTGTAAAGAAAGACACGACACCGTTTTATTCTTCATGTATTTTAATCGAGTATTTTACAAATTTAAAATATAATACAATACTTACATGTTCAGATTAAATACAGTCTTTTTACACTTAAGTTTAATCAATATTTACATAGATATTTTCACAGACACTTTTGAGGGCAAGAGTGACAGAAAAAGAAATTTTGAAATTTGAAAAATTAATAAAGGCTTTGTTAGTATAAGGGAAGCAGTAAAAAAATTAGAAATGAAAAAAATAAATAAAAACAAGTAACGAGAGACGACAAGAGGAAATAAAAAATTTGACCATAAGTCCTACCAGTGAGTCAGTATAATTTTTATAAGTCTTATATAATCTGCTTTTTAGTAATTTATGCTCTCTATATTTTAATTTAAAGGTCACGATTAAGGGCCCAGTACGGGCTCTATTTGATTCTGGAATTTCTTGTCTGGTCAAATTTGTGGAAGTATGGACATGATTCCTAAATGTTAGAAAACCACGTATTTCCAGACTCTGTAGCATTCAATTCAGGCCCATCAGCACCCGTCTATTTTCGGATATCATCCAGGTTTTCCTGCAGCAGATCAACTGTTTTCTCGTAGGTGGAGTCACGTGCGAATACTGAGGTATCGTCTGTAAATAAATCCATGTTTGAGTTTCCTTTGAGTTACCTTTAGGCATGAGGATATTCGCTGTGTGATTGCTATACATTAGCTGTGATAGCACAGACTGTAGAAGCACAACTGCTCTGATTGGCCTAAATTCAGAGTATGCATACTTGAAACACACTTTAAGCAATATGTTTGAGGTTTAAGGGGTAGGCGGCCAAGAGAGGCTCCAGATTGCATCAGCGAAAGTTTTTGCACCAGACGCTGGCGATTTACTCTATCAAAAACCCGGTTGAAATCCAAAAAAATCCATAATACAAAAATGACCCCTCTCCAGGCATATCTCGATAAACGAGGCAACTCTATGAAGCTGCTCGATTGCATAGCGTTTGGCCTTACAGCCAAATCGTTCATTAATTATGAACTAATTTTTATTTACAAATTTTACAAGTCTGTGTATGTGCAAGTGTTCAGATAACTTCCCCAAAATCGGCAATAAAAGAATTTGGCCCACAAGATGAAACCGATGAAGGCTTGCCAGACTTAAGGATGACAATAAATTCTGACTTTCCTCTGTCTTATTCTGTAAGGAAATCTCAAAAACAAAACAAAATAACAAATAAAAAGAAACCAATACTTATATTCTTTATCAGAAAACCGAGATAGAAGATTATCTCTACCAGCATGGAGTGCAAACATTAGAACTGAACAAAAAATGTAAAATGTTTCATGTTTTAACTGCTGACAATACTCCGTATTAATAAATAGATTGTGGAAGATTTGGGAATAAACAAGCACTTGGTAACCTTTAATTTTAAAATTAGTCCTAAAATAAAGTGTATCAATTTGAAAATGAGCTCTCTAGACATGTTTGATTAGGCGGATAATCTGAATCTGAGGTTCTGCATAAAAATCATAAGAATCGTTAGATTTAAGTAAAACTACGGTAACATGATATGGTAACAGATGAAACTACTATTTCATTGATGCTTACAGAAACGTTGGTTTCTTTTGGTGAAATGCGAGTAGATTCGATTAAATGGTAGGTAGATGAGAAATAGTAAACTTATTGACAACTGAGAACAATCCGAAATGATCGAAACAGTAATAAACAAGCAGTGAACTCCAACACAATGTGTTGATAAGGCGCGTCATTAACTCACACATATCAACCCCTTTAGTTGTCATTTACAGAGATTTCAAAATAGGCAAGTAGCACAACAAGAGAATTCATACGATCCAACTCTTCGACGACGCACTTTGACGAGACCGTGTATTGTGAAGGTAGAAAGCCATTCGAACGAGTTTAAGTTTTTTGATCTGCCCCCAGCAATATCTTATCAGATTCTTAAAGAAAAGTGCTACGGAATAATTTAAGCGAAGAAAGGAAAAATTCTGTCGAACTCCTGAAAGATACCTACAATCGATTTAAAGGTATTTTTGGGGCTAAAATATCCAAATCACCGGTACCTATTATAAATTCCGATATATTATTGAAAAGAAATTGACTCGATATAAATGTAATTGCATTAAATATGTCTTGATTTTGTTATTTTAAACGTATTTCCATGCAAAGAAGTTCAACCATGTCCATGCTTTATTCATTCATGAATTGAAAGTAAGCAATCTACATCCCGAAAATCTACCGATTTGCCGTAAAAAATTGCAGAAACTTGATATATCAGGTCGATGCACTCGTTCGTTGAATTTACCAACCGATTTCGTGGGTGCAAATATATAAAAATCAATATGCTATAGTCATTTTGGGTGCATTTATTTTTCATGAAACAATAATAATTTCAATCCCGAAAAACCGTTAATTTTCCGTATAAAATCGAAAAAATCGAGATGTGTCGACTCCCTGACGTGAAAATTAGATTCTACGTGTAAAAATACTTACACATGGATATGCTGAATAGAAACCATGTGTGGACGGATACATAGCCCCAGAATACTTTTAAAGCGCCTTTACTTTCCAGAATTTTGACGGAATTTTTTTTTGGCTTAAACGACTCAAGAGACACTGTAGTTAAAAAATATACAGAATTTTCGATTTTGACACAAAAAAAATGTTCGTTCAGGCACACCATGTATTGTATGGTGTATTGCGCTGGTATTCAATCCTTGCCTTCAGATCAAAATTCTTACAAGGAAGCCCCTTGCAAGAGGCGAATTTTTAGTAATTTCTCCCAATTTTTTCTCCGTTATATAGTTGAATTGCTTGCCAAATTCTGAGGTCAATTATATTTAATTGTAATTTATACATTTCTTTTTTCCTCTTCATTTTATTTTTTGTTTGGAGAAGTTTCGTTGATTTCTTCGGATTTCGAATACTGTAACTTCTCTTCTATTCGGCCGATTTTTATGAATGAGACCTCTTTCAATTCGTCTTTGAACGGAGAGTAAGGAAAAAATTCCTAGGTACTCGCGAAACAATTTTTTCGAAAATTTGATGGATCCCAGCGTGACGGTGAAATGGGTAATCGAGTGAAAGTAATTAGGTCTGACTGTGACGAGGACCGCGAGGGTCGCCTTTTGTTCTTCAGCTGGGAAGCGACGCGGCGAACCGAGCCAGGACCGGGACACTACCTGGGTTTTGTGCCTGCCTGTGCACTGTTTTGGCCTGATAGGGGAGTGAAATTCTGTATAGGCCACGATTAGCACATGATCTAATGAGTCTCGAGGCTCATCACAGATTGCACTTACCACTATCCTGCTGGCCCCGGCTATCAGAGCAAGGAGTACCAAATTTTGAAAGTCATAACAGGGTTGTGGAGATCTGTCAAAGCAACGTTTTAAACAAAACGAAGAAGTGAAATTCTCATTCAACGAGTGCCGACCTGATCAGCCATCCTCGAATCAGTTCGCTTGCTTCTGCTTATATATGCATATTTTAAATCAGCGCGCCCTACTCTTAGGCTTTTTTTAAAAAAACCAAGTAACGTAGACTGTTGGTATTCACTGCACATAAACTAATGAGCCCCAGAATGAGAAACAACTTTAAATCATAATTATTGATGGATAAATAAACTTTTTACACGCTTTGGAAAATCTCAGAAGTTCGCGGTAGTCACTTTTCGGTAAGGAACTAAGGGACTCGGTTATTGTATCGAGTGGGGGGTCGAAACGATCGCAAAGGCGGTATACTACGTATACGCGCCAAAATAATAAGATCCGTCCCAACTCTCACAATCAGTTTCCTCGTGTAATATCAACGGAGCTATCGTGCCTTCCAATAATCATAACGTAAGACGTCATCCACCGAAGTATTGCATACCATGGTTTCTTCTACCTTGATTTTCCCAGGCGGTTTTAAGTCGAGTAATCAGTGCAAGGGGTTGATTGATTAATTTAAGTTGGAAAAAACCATGGTATGTACCAATTCGATGGATGACGTCATACCTCCTATTTTTCGATGGACAACATAGCTCCGTCAATATCCGCCGTGAAACTAGGCGTTTGAAGGGTCTAATTACTTTTTGCTAATCTGCAAGTTTGGACCATCACAGCGCTACTCTGTGACCAGTGCAACTGACCCATTGCCGCTTACAATAAAAATCGGTAAGAAATGTCATTCCTTTTATCACAGAAAAATTCATTGAAAATGTAGCCGAATTACATGCGAGTAGGGATATAGTGCCAATCGGCAGGGCGCAGTAACCCTCACGACCCTTTGGGCACACAGTAGCAATACTTTCTCATCCACGCTGTATCAACGCAGTCACCCTCACTGCCGTAGGAGTCCAAACGACTGATGGACCCCAGGACCTTTATCTCCGGCGAGTACCCTACAGTGGCCTCGAAGACGGCTCGTCCCGGGGTCGTCTTCACGATGATCTGCAGCGCCACGTCCGACTTGTTCGCCGAATTAGTGATCCTTCTTGCCGACGTCACCTCGGTCATCTTGAACTTGGCGCACACTCGGTCGGCGGACGCGGATTTGTTGTAGGTGAGCCTGTTGATCTCGTTCACCAGCTCCCTCCCGACACTCACGGCCTCGGGGCCTTTGGTCGACTGCGGAATGAACTCGCCGCAGACGCACCAGTCGAAGGGTATCCCCGCATCGTCGCAAGAGCGATTCCCGTCGACCGGATCGAAGAGCCCCCTGCACTTGGGGCACCCCACAGGAGTGACGTCGGCGGTCGGGTCGAGGACCTTGTGCAGCGTGACGTGGACCTCGTACGGCGACGTGAGCATGTCCGCGTTCTCCTCCAGGTTCTGGACTTGCTCCGGGTATAGCTCGCGGAACCGCGCGGGGACGTGGAAGAAGAGGAACGGAAGCCGCTCTTCGAACCAGCCGAAGAAAGTCTGGCGGAATTGACCGAATCTAATCCCGTGATCGCTGAGGAAGACGACGAAAGTGTTATCTAGAACGCCCAGTTCGGAGAGGGCGAAGAAATAGTCGACCATGATTGCGTCCATCGCGTGGGCCGTCTGCAGGCTATTGTGCGTCATAGAGTTGACCCAGACGAGCCCGAAGAATCGGGTATCGTTCATCTGACGAAGGAAGTCGAGTGAATAGCCGAGGACTCGGTCAACAGAGGTGGTCGGGCCGAGACAGTAGTGCAAGCCGTTGATCATCTTGGCCTTGAGTGCGGCCGTCGCGCTGTGCATGTAGGCGCGCGCGTAATAGTCCACGGGCGGCTTCTTGAAGCCTTTTTTGACGAAGTTAAACGAGCTGATCTTGTACTCGTCTTCGGCGTACATAGTGGCGTAGTTGTGGGCGCTGAAGTTCTTCCAGATGAAAGGGCATGAGTCGAAGTAGTCACTCCGACCGTGCCAGCAGGTTTTCTCGATCTGCGGCAGGCTGTGGCCTGTGAGGATTGGCATGAGATTAGGGAGTGTGTTGTCTCCGACTTTGTTGTAGCCCTTGTATTCGATCCAGCTGGTGTTGCGGAGGAGCTGAAGGGTGGCCGGCATTTGACGCTGGAAGTTGGCGTATGACACGGAATCGATGCCCACTACGAGGACGTTGAAGGCGTCTTGCGACTGGTTCCGGGGGGTAGCTTTGTGCGAGAGTTTTTGGCGTTTGGTGGCCGTTGAATGGACGTCTTGGTAGATGCTCTTGCGCTTCTTGCGACTCTCCACCGTGCAGTCTATCTGCACCATTTCTGGCTGGTAGCTCAGCGTGGTGTTGCTTTGAAATTTCGTGCAGGTTTTCTTCATCCTGGAATAAAAACATCAGTTTGCCTTGAGTGCAAAATGGTCCGAAATGATGACAGATTTGTTACAAGGAATCTACCTTACCTAATTCTGATCTTAAACATATAGTATAACTGCAGTTTTTCACAATTTCCCATCATTTAGACCGCATTGAATAGAAAGGAACCAAGCCACATCAGCAATTGCCAAATATAATTGGGCGATTTAATGTTATACATGAAAATAGTTGTGTGGATTTTTGTGCAAATTTCAGTGAAATTTCTACATCGTCCGAAACAAATTCCTTAAAATGTTTAAAGTAATCCGCACTAACATGTTCTCTCATAAAAAATTAAATCGCCCGATTAAATTTTGCCACAGCTGATGTGGCTTGGCTCCTTTCTGTTAAACACGGTCCATTTTTCATGTCTTCAGCACATGATTGCTTCATCAGTTGGTTTTATAGTCGAGGTTCGGAGGATACTAATGTAACTGCGAGGAATGGTCACAAGAAATATTATGAAACTATACATCCATCCGGCCTCTTTTTAAAATAACAACACCGAAAAAAGGAGTTCGTCTAATTACCTGGGACTTGCCTCAACAATTTGTGTTGAAAAATTTGAATCTAACCCTATATAGTTGAATCAACACAATGCTCAAAACTCAAAACAGTACTTTTTTGCCCATTGGGCTAAGACTCGCAGTCATTAAGTCTACGGCCCCAGGCGGGATGTTGATGCCATGATGGTATCAACATGGTGTTGACATGATCGTTTTTCGGGAGGGGGTGGATTTTTTCTAATAACCTTAATTAGATATTTCTCCTCTTGTTTTCATTAATTTTCTGCACTTTAGCCTTTGTTATCAAATCTATATTATTAAATAATTTGAATTGATTGATAGCTTTAATGAAGTACGCTAAACTCAAAGTAAATAAAATATTTTTTTCGCAATCATACATAGGTATTCGTGTCAACTTTATCGACACACTATTTAGTGAACGTACAAGCGCACTGTGGTGTACTTCGATGCATTTTTTGAACAATATTCACAAACTTCCTCTTCCCCTATGATTTTTGTAACTTACTTTTTATAGTTTCCATCGTTTTTGTTGGTTGGTGTCAAAGGATAGTAGCAGCAAGAAAGTGATTTTCTTTGGTTTTTGCTGAGCTTGTAGGTTTTCAGCGCATTTTCTATGATTTCAAGGGTATACAGGTCCATTTTCGGGTCATAAGCTGCTTTTGTGAGTGGTTTGTTATCGCATCTGATGGGAGTTTGTGGTTTCATGTATTTCATAATGGATGGATGAAATGGGTCCACACTTGGGATCCGACAGCTCCCACCGGCACCGGGCGATTTTCCTCTGAACGCTGAAACAAAGATATTTGTTGTAAAAAACAGGCAAAAATTCATTTTTTCTGAACAAACATTCAATCTCTAATCGTAGTTTAAACCTTGGATATCTGTAAAACGGAACTGAGCGTCAATTTAAGTTCCTTTTGAGGATTTTAGAATCCGGATAGCGCGTTCTGTCAAACGGAATTAAGCACCATGAAAAAGCATTGCAAGTATAGGACGTACAACGAGCATCGCGTTCCGCAACACCAGCCAATCAAGCTCCCCTCTCCCTACCTCCCCCGATGGCGCTTAGTTCCGTTTGATAGAAATATTTCCAAATAAACCATAGACGTCGTTAATAAAACCATATAGTTTCTCTTATATAAGAATTATAGTAGAACTATCCTAAAATTATAGTTGAACTATAGTAGAGCTACAGTAGAACTAGTATACGCCATTTTTAATATGGAGACCTTTGAAATTTTATATCAAATCAACAAGAACCATTGGAATTTTTTGTTTGTAAAATGATGGGGGAAACTGGCCAGTTGTGCAAGTCGCAGAATCGTGTTTTGATACTGGGCCGGATTTTCCTGCTTGCCGTCCATGGGCCGCATGTGTTTTGCCGCCTACATCAATAAAAACCATCAAGTGAACGTGCCAGCGAGGAAGGGGTGCATAAGACGCGTTTACTCGTGTTGGACACATTTTTTTGGTAAAGCCTTGTCAACACTACTAGCAAAAATTCACCGAACTTTGCGCGAAAGTTAAGTTCCGTAAACATATCTCTGTGTGGACAAGAGTTTCCATTTATAAGAGATGAACGAAAAAATTATGAAAGAACAAACGCAAAATTTGGTTTAATGATTCCAACTTCCGCCGCCGCGCCGCGCAGACAGCACCGTGTTTGGCGCAATGCGTGAAGTATTCACGCAGTCTTGTAGGCGCTATGCGTTTCACGCTGACCGCACTGTGTTTGGCGCAATGCGTGAAGTATTCATGCATTCTTGTAGGCGCTATCCGTTTCACGCTGACCACAATAACCGCACTGTGTTTGATGCAATGCGTGAAGTATTCGTGCAGTCTTGGAGGCGCTAATATGTGTTACATGCAGATTGCCGCAATGCCGCGTCTCCTTTTCATCTCAAGTCCTCGTCATCATTTCTCCCTAAGCCGCGCCGTTCCAGGCCAAATTCCGTGTTTGGTTTCTCTCTTAACTCGACTAATTAAAGGTGCTGTCTCTTGTATCACTGAAAGACGACAAATTAGAAATTACTATACTGTCAAGAAATGAGAGATTTTGTGGCCTTTTTTTGTTCGTAATTTTATTTTTTCTAAATCCGGTTTTTTTTTATACTTACATTTAAAAAAATTGCAAAATTTGCCGCCTCCTAGATTTGCCGTCATGGACCGCGGCCCATGTGGCCACCCCTTAATCCGGCCCTGTTTTGATATTTAAGTTTGTGGATAAAAAACAATAACGAATAATACGAATCGTCGAAACACAAGTTTCCACGTCCAAAATTGACGGACGAATCGTCCTCCAACTAATAGGGCGTATGGCGTCATCCACCTCGGTGGTACGTCTTCCGTTTCTTCCATGTACCCTTCCTTCATCCGTTTTTTAAGTCGAGCGACAAGTTCAAATGAACAATCACTAATTCTGCCGTGCTAAGGAAAAACGTCGCAGGAGCCTGTAGACTTTGCCAGATTGACTACAATAAAAACTAAATTTTCTGGGAACATTGCGAACATTTTTCTTCAAATTGTTCAGATAATTTTGTTCGCAATTCGATCTAAAATATGTGAAAATTTCAAGAAGGAACATGAATAACTTTCCTCAAATAAGGTGGAGAAATGGTGCTGGGTCCACACCATTTCGCGGGGAAAACAAAGCCAAGAAGTTCCAAAACTTATAATTAGAGTCAAAATTAAATTGTTTGAACTCTAATGTTACATACAGTTACATACTTGTTACATGCTCGGGTCACTCCATAGTGTTGTTGTTGTTGTTGTTTTTTCAATCCTCAAATATATATGTTTTATCTGGAGAAATTTGGCAACTCTTGAATGTTCATACGGCGTTTTTTCTCGGTAAAATCCAATTTTCCACTTTGAGTGGTCTACCGGACGTTCGGCGACAAGCGGTGTCGATGCGACTGTTGGATTGAGTCCCTTGTGGAATAACGTAAGAGGCGAGTTAGTGTCGAGCGGGCGGGCGGGTGCACGGTGATTAGCGGATTAACCACACTCTCATTCATCAAATGCACTCACACATACAACACATATACACTCCATTCGTGCAACACACGCGCGTGATGACGTTACAAGGCGCGACACCACGACACTCGTCAGAGGTCATCACGCGCTGCCTTCAGCGCAAAGGAATCGCACAGTAAGAAAAAGTAACCGACATTTTGTGTTATTTAAGAAAGTAGAACATAAAATATCCTAAACGTCCGGTCAAAATGTTTCGTTCAATCTTTCTTTGGGGTATATTGACCAAATGTTTGAGACGCAATGACCAAAACTTTGGGTGAAAATTTGCAACCTCGTTTGAAATTAGGCGCGAGCTGCCAGGATCGCTCCTTGATCGCATTGGTGACAGTCCAGTGCGCTAGCAAGTCGCAACCCCTGGGTGACTAGGAAAGAAACAGAGTATATTACCTCAGCGGGACTTGTTCCTCATCTATGAAGGTCTTTCGATGGATTTAACAAAACAATTTCTCGATCAACCAAGTCCTTTTGATTGATCTTTCCTGATAAAAAGTAACCCAAAGTGACCACAAACACGGAAATTTTTAACTGGGCTGGAACTCGAAATAAATTAGATAACGCCTACCAACAATGACCCTATAGCTATGTGCAGCACCCAGACTTTTTTATTTAGAATTTTTGACGGGATGAGATTTTTTTGGATAGGAGTTTGCAATTGGTTGAGCTCTGATCCAAATTCATTTTCTCTCAGCATGTGATTCAGTCATTTTATGTTTAACGCAGCCCATATAAACCTTATAACAACAACAACGACTCAAGAGTCAAACTAAGGAAAAACAGCTTAAAAATTGTTTCATGATTTTTAATGTTTTTCTGTGTGCTCAGTTTTCGACGGGTCGCAAGTTTCATTACTTACAAGGCGTCAGTGGGAAAATATCCCAGGTCATAGGTCAATAGGTCAGACCATGACCGCCTCTTGCTTCTTCTCCACGGTCTAATCTTTATGGCATAGAAGGAGAACGCGAGTGGTCCAACTGTGCGCTGTGCCATCTTGCGTCATTCTGCAAGTCGAAACAGTGCGGTTGAATAAGTTGTTTGGAAACGCGAAAAATTTCCAATTTCAGATGAGCCTTGGCATGCATGTAATTCTATGCACCTTAGAGCTCATACAAAAATAGACATGTTCTCTTTCTGAAACAACTTATTCAATTAAGGTTTGATGGAGTTGATTCCGTGATTGTCTCTCTGTCATCGCGGTGCACTTAGGTCACCGCAATGAGCCACGGTCATTCTTTGAAGATGCCGTAATCATAATAATTCTTCGAACTTTTGCTTTATTACTCCATTAAATCTTTAGAATAGGAAAAGAAAGGTTTTATGGTGAGCATTAAATCACTTGAGCGAGGTGCATTAAAAATAGCGGATCAATATTCGGGCTATTAATGTTGAAGGAAATTTATGAGAAATTAAGAGGGGAGAGAATCAGCGATATTCTTGAGTAACGAAAGTAAAAACTCAAGAGGAAAATTAGAAGTTTTTACGAATAAGGCCTGAGACTGTGATGGCTTTAAAAATTTGGCTTAAATTTTGGCAGTTACAAAGTGCTTTACCATTTGCGCGAAACTTGATTTGTAGTTCTGATAGTGGCATGAGATCTTCGTTGAAGTAGTAGAAAATGATGAAGAGCATGGCCAACAGTATCAACGGTACCACTTTGGCGTTTGGTCTCGACAAAGCTCCACTCGTTGTCATCTTCACCTGATAATTAAGAAACGATTGTAATACTTTAGTGTAATTTCATCAATATGATAGTGATTGCTCAAATTAAATATATGAATGTATATTCCTCCTAAATAGCAAAAAAATAGTCTTCCTATTTTCATTTTCATAGTTGAATATAGCCCATTACGAAATGATTTAGTTATGTACACGTCACATTTAGATCATCGTCAAATCAGCCATTTTTCTGAAACCGAGCTCCCATAGACTTAAATTAGAAAAATACACGAGCCTTTTTGCGTCTGTATATGTATGTGTTCTAAGTAAGCGTCAAATTCACGGTGATACCACTAGTCAACTACGTGAGAGCTCGTATTGCCAAAACAACAAATTGAAGGCGAACTGACACAGCGTTAGATTCACCTCTCCTTTGAGTAAAAGGATATTAAGGCAAGTATGCTGTGTGCTTCGTATACGTATACATCCGCTAAGTTTTAGAATATGTGCCAAAAATCATTCCTGCAGCGGTCTTAAAGTGTAATTTTCAGCCTTACAGAAGATTTTTACCGGCGTCTTGGAGCACTAGCTTGATACCAATTAGCGAAATATTCAAATTTTTAATCTAGGAGAGAATACTGAATATTAATGGAAGCATTTGAAGAAGTGTCAAATCTGACTATTGGCCTATACGGTGAATTTTATAACTCTCTGTTCCCATATTTAGGATTAAACGAGTCGCTTGACTCATATTTAGAATCAGGCAAATCAATTGACGGTTCTTTAAAGGGCAGAGCCAATCAGAGTCAAACAGAGTCGATTTAGTTTGAGTGAATTTGGGTCAAATGAATCGAACTATCGTCAAATCTGAGTTAATTTTATTTTCAATATGGGAACAGAATATTGTTATTTTTGACTGGATTTGATATGTATAAAAGGCAAATCTGCAATGTCCCACCCGATTTCCATTCCCCTGCTTGTTAAAAATGGCCAATACCCGTAAAAACTAAACCAACGGTAAGTACTGTTTTGAACTAAGTTAGGCCGAGTGTGATTCAAACTTTTTTCATAATCGACACCTGATGGTAACGTCTACTGTGTTAAGATTTACCTTTGCATCTTGCCTTATCCATACAGCAACGGCTCGGAACTCTCCAAGGAGTGGTTGTTTTGAGGGCACGACCATGTTCTGTGCACATCTGACAAACAAACATTAAAAGGGACAATTAATATTCGTTCAGTTGTAGTGCGGCATCGTAATACGCACAGACGCACACATAAACACAAAATTTGATAGGGCGCGAGAAGCTACTTGTAAGGCATAAAATGTAGAGACTGAAAAGAGTATTGGTGCATGTGCACTGAGGAAAAACTCGACCGTTAAGTTAGGTCCTAAAGCCTACTTCGCTACTGGCTCCCAATGACGTTTCCGGTTGTTTCAGCTGAAAACGGAAAACACTCGCTCATTGCGCACGAAAGTCCATGTAAAGCGTAAAGTGAAAATTCACGGGAAATATTCAGCATTTCCGGTTACGTTAATTGATCGCCGAAAGCACTCTCTGATTGCGGACGAAAGTTTGCGAGTGAATATTCATGCATCATAGAGTGCTTTCATTGATTGGCTGATGTAACCGGAAATGCTGAAAACTCTCTGTAAATATTCACACGACACTGTGACTTTGGCGCACAATCAGAGCGAGTGGTTCCGGCGATCAGCTGATGAAACCGGGAATTTTGAGTCTTCTCGGCGGATAGTCCCTTTACCCTTCTTTTAGACGACGTATTTTGGGATGAGGAAGTATTATTGCATTGAACAAACAATCTGCCTCATTTTGAAATAAGACATTTTTCCAGAATTTTTGCCACCTTTAGTGCTCTAATTCAGCAGAACGCCCCAGCTTTGGTTAGCCCGACAGCGGATTCTGCACTCTATAGGTCAGGCAGAAATTTTCTGTCGATTGTCAAAAATGTGTTCATTTTGAAGCCGAGCACCAAAATGACAGCAATATCCTGGACTATGCTCCTCTTTTTTCAAGAAAATCGTGTTGACTAACATTAAGAGAACTGCGGTGATTTCTGACAAGTCAACCTTGTCTTGGAATGAGAAAAAAAATTCAATAAAATCTTTTTTTTTTTTAAAAAAAAAAAGAAAACCTTTTTAATGGAACCAAATTTAGTTTTATCTTAGCGAAAAGGCCTTTTGAGGATCGTAAATGAGCAACCTGTCTAGAAGGGGTGACTAGATTTTTAGTAACTATAAACTTCTTTTTTTATCCGTGCAGGCGGTGCGCGGCGTAGCAACGATGACTGGCACGAAATCGATGGAAACACGGACTAAAAATGCGTCCAATATTCCTGCTGAGAACAAATGGTGATGATTCGCCGTCTTTTAACGTGATTTGACGTCGCTGAGCCCAATCTGAGGTGTACGCATGCAGTAATCGGTGCAAAATGTTAATTAGCGTGAAACCGCTTAGGCGTCCTCCGTGTGCGCATGCGTCGGCGCGTCGCTCCCGTCGAACTCAAAAATCAAACAGCGTAGCATTGCAGAATTCACACAAGCATGACGGGAGAGCTGTTCATTTTATGTGAACTATCTTTCGCTGCAGTGTCTCCAGAGATAAAAATTCGAGGAAAAATAGAATGAAATCGTATTGCAATGCCCAATGAAATGCATGTAATTATAACCGATCAGCTGACTGCTTATAAAATCGATAGACAAAGCTATAAGAAAACAAATCGTTCCTATTGGTGGAGGCCGGTGGTAGCAATAATGGACAAAGGATTCTCGTAACAGACTAATTAACGGCAACCCACGAGAAACCCTATAGTTAGTTCATCATTTCCTTCCATAGTCTATTATACCCGTTTTAACCAATAGGATCTCTCCATGTTCCATATGTCTTCTTTGTATATGGCTTTGTCGATCAATGTCCATAATCATTAATCAGCCTACTGGACGACTCATTTACAACCGTGCGAGCGCTCGCGTTTGTTATAGGTTACCTTAAATTTGACTTTAAAAAAAAAACTGGTTTGCTGAGGACCGGGACGTTCGAATGAACGGACAACTGACACTGTAATTCTCCTTATTTTGCGAGTTGATTTTAGAAATTTTCAATATGTCCTTCGTGCTTCAGGTGCAATTTTGGTACGTAATGTCTAATTCTTGCCTAGTGATCCATTAACTGCCGGTTTGTTATTTGCTCAACTCGTTATAACAGTTAATTGTGCGAAAACATCCAGAAGAGAGGGGATTTGAGGCCGATTGTGACACAGTTCTAGTGGATCCGGTGCATGTGTCTTAAAGTTGATTTTTCATCTTTTTTCATGCTTTGGCTCATGTTGGCTTTCTCACGAAATTCATTGATTTGAATTTTTTTAGAGATAAAAACAAACGAAATGACATTTTTAAATTTTAGTTATGAATTTCTCGTCGATTACCTCTCTAAATCTCTAATTTTAATTTTCAGACTAACTGCTCTTTTTGGTACTTTAGAAATTGTAAGAATAGATACAATACGATACATAAATTTTTATTTTTGGGTCTATTTTTTTGTAATTATGAGTAAGAGCGAACTAATGGTTTTGCTTCTAATTTGGAAACTCTGTTGATCCTTCGATTGAGCCTGCCGGAGGAAGCATGAAGGAACTGAGGTGTTGCTTCGAAGCGCCCGCCGTGACAAATCGTGTTATTATTCCTTTTGCGACGTAACACCAAAACTAAATCAGTATCAAATCGATGCGAATTCTCACGTAAAATCGCGGTCGAAAAAAACAACAACAACTAAATACTGCTTCTTCTCGCCTATTTAAGACTATGCTGGAAATCAAATCTCTTGAAGGCAGGGATATGCATCAACAAGGACAGTCACACAGTATACGTGTGTGTAAAATCCATACCCTAAAAATGTTCCCAATGATTTCTTGTGTCTGGAGATCCGGAAGATTTTTCTTTTAACATTCACTAGTGAAAATGTATCCTTCTGTATTATTATTATTATTTTGTACTCGAAATTAATGTTCACGGCAACAAGTCGGCAGTTTAGGACTCTCCCGACAATTCTATACGAAGTGGAAATTATTATAGTCTCTATCTATAGGGCTATCTAAATTTTGGTCATCATCCCCATGACTTTTCTCCAAGTCGAAATTGAGAGCTAAAATTTTGAAGTCTCCCCTAGATCTAAAAAGTGGTAACGTTTGAATCCATTTTATTTAGGGGGGGGGGAGAGCTTCCTCTTGGAGGCTGGTTGGATAGTAAATTTCCGTGCCACCTTGTGAGGTTAGTCCACCTCTGCGAAGAAGTTCGTTAATTTCATGTGAAAAATGAATTAAACGCATGGAAAATATATGCTTTCCTTGAATAATGCTCCATCGCAAATGCATTTTCCACCGTCGGTATCTCATACGCAAAGCGGCGGTGGGTTGAAAAGTTTAAATGCGGTCTAGAAAACAAATCATGAAAGGAAATCCTGAGACAGCTTCAATTATTTCGTCATCAATATATTAAATATAATAATTAAGGCAACTTCATTTCTGTCTTGCGCATCAGTTATTTTTAATCTTGATGTGAAGTATGCATGCCTTTAGACTTGCTTCCGTCACCCTATGTTTTACAACTGAACACTTGATATTATTTGTTCTTTCAAATCCAGGTCTGGGTTGCTTTTGTTTGAATACGTCTGCCGATAATCTGATAATATGATTAAACACTTCAAATACAATGCCTCAAGAAGCTCACACTATCGCCCAAAAAGAGCGTATACTGCTTAAACTTATTTCTGATGGCTACTAAAGCACTCGAATCTGGATTGAACTTTAAATCTTCACAGGAGATCACTCTTCAATATTTCGAGGCGGCAACACACGGATGGAAATAGATCCACTCTGTATTGTGACCTGAGAGATTCGGTCTTTACTCATATTTTAGGCGCATAGATCTTATACGTAAAAATATTCGAAAGACAGCAAGGCAAGATCTACTAGCCTTTTCTACAGACCTTTCTAAAGATTTTAAGAACACGTAGTTAAATTTTTAAGTTATGGTGTGATTTTTTAATGATATTATGAGCGTTTTAATTGAAGAGGGTCAAAACCGGTGACAGCGCATCAGTGCCTCATCTCATTGCAGCTGAGATACTGTTATCAAATGCTCGCACGATAACATAGTCATGATTTTATTATGTCGAATATATAGGTACATTAGAATTCATTATAAAATATTGAGGTTATTATAGAACTACGGCAGGAATTCATTTTTGATTATGAAGATGCTGAGTTTTCTGAGTAAAATTGTTTCAAAATTTTAACTGCGCTTTTCTAGAAACCACGCTTTTTCGTTTACAAACTTTGAAATATTCCAGATACGTGAATTTTTTTTTCTTTTAATCTTTCTTAGTGATTTTTTCTGTTAGTATTATTATTTTGGTTTGACTAAGAATAAGTCGGTACTATATTGATAATAAAATGAATCCGCTACGGAGGCCGCATAAGAATATTTCAAATTACCAGAATAATTATTTTACTTTATGTTATTTTACACCAGAACAATTATTTTACTTTAATGTTATTTTACACCAGAAAAATTATTTTACTTTATGTTATTTTACAACAATAATTATTTTACTGACTTGCCCTATGTTGATACCGCCATAAATCCATGTTTGGCGTCAGCATAGTACTAGGATTCACTCACCAACATAGTCGTTTTCAGCAAGGAATTAGTCTAACTGCATCTTTGGTTTCCTATCGTGTCTTCAGGTTGTATTTTTTTTTATAGGATAACTTAGCAAAACGACAAATTTGAAGTTCCCCTAAAATATGAAGAATACCCTCACAAAAATTAAAGGCTGAATGTTGCAAAGTTTCCTATCGTAGAAAATAAAACAACAAATGGAAGATATGTAATGACTGACAGAGTAAGAATAACTCTCTGGTAAATATTAATTGTCCAGTGGTTGCTGAGCGATGCGCCGTATTTTATTCGAAAACATCCTGTGTCACTGGGGGGGGGGGGGATCTTTTACCGATCCTCCTCCTCGTCACATGACAAAACAAAAGGTCCTTCGGAACGCGGAAACTCCTTCTCCCTCGCGAAAGGGACCCCGGTTGAAGCGATGACTGTGTGCACATGCGACAGAAATAACTTATCACAAACGGGATTATCATAGCGGGTGCTGCCAATCATGGATGGCAACTTATCATCAGGGTATGCGGGGGTTTCCTGTCCAGCACGCCAGGATGTGTGATTCAACAAACAGATCGGGTCAGTTCGATTACTTGTCGTCGTGAGATTTTTGCATTTTTTTCAAATATGAACCGAAGCTGAGTGAGTTTAGCTGTCCATCCATTTACAAACGTCCATCATCCAAATGCCGCAACGTATATAATTTGTTCATTTTTTATTATTATTTCGTGGATTGAAGGGGTAATTTTAAGTTACACGAGGAGCGTTTTGATGGATCCCAAGCGGCATTCAAATTATGTCAAGGCTATTATAGGGCGGTGATGTTTAGCGAGTCACTGAGGACAATCGATTATCAAAAAAGTATAAACAATACTTTGGGCTGATTGCTGAGATAGATAGACAAAGCTATAGACAAAGAGGACATAGGCAGGGATGTAAAGTGATCCTTTTGGTTAAAATGGGTGATTCTTATGGACTGAGGGAGAAAATTATGGACTAAGTGAAGGGTCTCTCGTGGGTTGCCGTTAGATATTCTAGCACCTATCTTCTTTGTCTATTGCAACCACTCGCTTCCACCGACAGGATCCCTCCATATCTCTTTTGTCTACAGCTTTGTCTACAGATTTCAGCAAACAATCCGCAGAGCAAGAAGATGACAAAATTATAACACGCCAACACCAATACAGGGAAAAGACATATCTCTATTTTTCTCGACTACTCTTTACCGATATTTTTCAATTCCTTTTGAATAATGCATTACAGGTTGAAGCATTGGATCAAGTCGATAGCTTTCGGTTTGCACAGGGAGTGAATCTTTTTGCTATGGAAACAGTATTTTGTTTTTGGAAAAAACGGAACAAAACTTTTGATCATGCGTTCCTAAGAGCTTATTTTCTAAGCCAAAAAACTTAACTTACTTCGATTTCAGTGTAGCAGTACCGCAATTTCAAAACAGCGAGGTGGTCTTCAGACTTGTCAAAATCCAGTGGACACTTCGGTCAAGTTCCCTGGTCAGAGCTCACATCATTTTCGTCTTTGTATACTTCTTTGATCTTCAACCTGAAAACAAAAGGAAACGCATATGCAGGTAAATCTGTCTGTGTGATTCTACATAAGGATAGGGGTGGCAAAATTTTCAGTGGGTGGAGCAATTTTGGCTGAATTTTATTTGAGAACTCTTACATGTATACTTTAACGGCGCGGAGGTTGTCATTAATGTATGGATCTCGAGAAGAAAGGGGGGGGGGGAGAACTAAAAATCACGCATTCTCGGCGTGACCCCAGCTTAGTATTTCAATGCATCTGCGTAAGCTGAACTCTCTCTCGTCTCAATTTTGCACTGATACACATTAGACTTCAAATTTTTTACTGGAGGTAATAGACGTTTTTTGTAGAACTGTTTACCTTGATTTTTCCGCAGAATAATGTGGACATAGCACTTACTCTATGACTCTGTGTAGATTTCTTGATTTGACTTTTTGGTAGTCAGTACCTCCGCGCAATAGTTTCTGAATAGTCTTGTACTCTACTCTACCTCGTAAAAACGCCGCATAAGCATTATAATGTTGCCAAATTTTTTCTTTAAAAATATTTATTTCTGAAGAAAGTTATGAATATTTTTCTTTGAAATTTTTAGACTTCTTGGATCAAATTACGAGCAAAATCCTGTGTAAAATCAAAGAGGAAATATTCACAAATGTTCCTGAAAATTCGTGATTTGTAGAAGGAAATTTGGCAACGCTTGATGACGCATATGACGTTCTTACATTAGCACAGCAGCCCTGACCTTGGATCAGTCTAAGTATTTTATCCTGCCAGAGCTCAGCGCAGTACTGCTGCGCTAGAGTGACAATCTTTATTATCTTTCCTGGATCCAAGAAATTCTTTGACCTCAGGTCTCAGGATGAGTTCATTTTTATTCCCGTCCAGCATCGGAACGGGAAAGCGTGACTGACAATGAGATTGGAGCGGGATCCGAACGCCGCATTCATGGACAAAAGCGCCTGTATCAGCCGCTCATCGCTCAAAAGTTAAGGCCAACATTTTACGATCGGTAAGAACAGATGTGGTTTTCAACTGTTAGATGCCCCGGTCGATTAACTTCTTGAAAATTCTGGTACACATTTCTTATATCAACTAAAAACTGGTGGCAGTCGAGTATAATTTAATTTACCTATGAATGACCAGTGACCAGTATACTTTACTTCTTTACATATATTTATCAAAAGGTATGCTCAATAGGTTTCAGGGGTGTTTTCCCAAATTTTTTTAATTTTTTTAAAAGTCAAAGGCGCAGAACTTTAAAAGTGCTTTTTTAAAAATTTTATATGTGTCCGATGTTAGGAGGAGGTTTGCAAAAAAGAACAAATAGTGGAGAACAAAGTATTGCTTGAAATTTAGGTGCTTGAGCTATACAGTGTGGCTGTTTTGAATCTAATTCTTGTAATCATTAAGTTTCTTGTAGTCATATAGTGAATCTTGTAAATAAGATTGAGCATTCCTTTTTTAACTTAATTTTCTACTGCACAAAAAATAGAGCTTTGAACGCTGTATGCATAGTTAAATGCAAGTAGGCTAATAAATAAAATCCGGAAAATAAAACAGGAGGAATATTATCTTACTTTCAGTTTTCCTTGGTACCAATAGCAGTTGCGAGGTGTGAATGATTGATTATCGATATTTCTCAATTTGAAGCTATGGCGAAGAATCGATTGTTAAGGTCTGTTAATCGATCTTTTTCCACAGGATCAAAAGGCAGATAAATCGATAAATCGCAAAGCACGCCACGCCACTGACCTATACCACATGATTGTGATCCGACCAATCACATCCGTTTCTCCTCGTAAAAAGTGTTGTCACCCATGCCCTCATTACCCATGTATGCTGCCCTCGTTTTCTTTTTGCCTCCTTCAACCCTAATGCTTGTCAAGCGCAAGCTTCAGGGAGGAAAATTACAGGGCTATCGAGGAAAACTACTTTAAAGTTTGACTGCCGGCGCCTTGATGAATAATACAGGAGGCGACATTAACTTGAGGTTAAAAGCGTCCACTGGTCACCTGCGTTTCATGAATTATAGCTCACGTAAGTTCTGAGGAGTTGCCATAGTGAAAATGCAATTTCCCTCTCTCTTGAATTCATCCCTCACGCGAGCTTTTTATGAATTGAAGCGTTGCCAATTTTAATTAAAAGCGATTAAGTTTGTCTATTGACAGCATTAGAGAGACATTTTATCAAGTTTCGTAAAGATGAATCAAAATAATGAGAAATCGAAGAAATGAATATAAAATATCACGAGTATCCATAGTTCCGTTAAATCGCTGATTTAAGGGTAATTTTTCATAAGAAGCAATTTGCTTTTGTCATCTCCATCTTGAAGAACGCTTCAGGAAATCATTGGAATTTTTAAAATTTCTATTTGACTGCTTTGACTTTAAAATAGAATTGGCTCCTATAACTAAGCTGATCGTCTCAGTTTGGTACTCACGCGGTAGCGTTGTGCAATGCTCTTTAAATTAAGGCATTTTTCTGTAAAATGACGTAGGTATGAAACTCCCAATGCTGCTAAGATTGTGCAACGTAGTTCTCTGGTTGTAAGTATACTTATCCGGCAGGTTCTGCTATGAATTTTTCCTTAAATTTGCTAAAAGTTTTTCCTCACTCTTCTCAGAGAGTGAGTCGACTGTGTATTAATTTCATCTGCCCCAAACGCTGTAAATATTGTACAAGCTTAGCAGCATTCCAAGCTTCATTCGCCCTTTAACCTAAAAAAAGCCCTCAATAAGTCCAGCACCAGTAAGGCTGACATGAGGGGTTCGAATGCAATGAAAAAGACACCAGAGAAAGTCAATATGGATTCCTCTGTATTATTGGCTCCTTAGTCCGAATTTGATAATACCACCAAACATGACTCGTGTATTTTCCGAAAAAGCCTGAAAACTGCCACAAATCCTATTTGGCCGGGTTATTCCTGCCATTAGAAGCTAATTTTGGAACTAATAATTATTTCTTTTTTCTTTTTTAAATCAAAGTTATAAAAGAGTAACTATCCGATAAATTAAATAGAACTATGATTTTGCGTCACAACTTAAATTTAGGCCGCTACAGCGCGCAACAGTTTGGCATTGGTCGTAAAACATGTCTTCCTCCGTTTCTCCGACCGCAACTCCTTTATTTGACCTTAAATCCAAATAATTATGCTAAGAAACAACGTTTTGGCCAACCCCACTTGGGGAAATTGTACAGCTCAGACCATTTTTCTAAGAGACTTTTTTTGGCCGCTGCACTAGAGCGCACGGAAGTGCAAAAAATCATTTTAGGCAACTTCTTTGAATTTTATTTTTCTTCTTAATTGCAACCAATCGCAGCTTTCAATAGAAAAATATTGTAGCGAATCACGGCGAATGTATGTTCATGAGTTATGTGTCGAGTAAATCACGCAATCTTCAGCTCTTACTATCACAATCGATGGGAACTTTGACGAGTTAATCAGTAGCTTTGAGTGACGGATACCATCCGTTCACATTCTAGATTGCACGCATCACGACAGAATCCATGTTACCCTTTTTGTACACGTTTTAATCACCCTCAGTTTTGACTATATATCTCAATGAGCAGGCTAATACAGTGCACAAAAGGTGAAAGTTGACACTAAAAAAAGAAACTCTTGATTAATACTCAGACCGCACACGTGTGTATGTGGCAATAATCGTAAAGCGTGAGTTTTAAGTGCGAATTACTAGCCTACTAGCTCCTGGTGCTATCTGCCGCATGGCCCATTAATAATTCAGCGTTTTCATCGCGTTCGGCGGTCTACAACATTCAGTCAATAAAGCTACCACTCCACGTTTGATTTCAATCACCCCGGCTGAATAGAGTAAGACTCTCGAAAGTTTCGTAAAAACGAACGTGGAGGTCCTTACCAGTAAAATAATTGACAAATCTACTGTGAAAAATGAAAGTAAGAAATAAAATAAAAATGATAATGCGTTGTAGTCACTCATTTTCAAAGTTCTTCTACAAAGAAGCTTTCACATTTAACGCACTTTTTATATCGCACAATCGGTGTATTTAATGAATTTTTGCAGTGCTATAAAAAAATATGAAAAATATAAACAAAAAAGCAACAAATATAATGCGACCATCCCATTAGGATAAAACAAAAATAATAGTGGCAAAATTTGAATACATCAATCAATAAATGCATTCGCAGTACAGGGCCGGATTACTTACTTGCCGCCCATGGACCGCCTGTATTTTGCCGCCCCCTTCTCATTCGTTTTCAATAAAAACCATCAAGTGAACGTGCCGGAGGGGGATAGGTGCATAAGACGCGTTTACTCGTGTTGGACACATTTTTTGCGAAAGCCCTGACAACACTTCTAGCAAAAGTTCACGGAACTTGGCGCGAAAGTTAAGTTTAGTAAAACTATCTCTGTGTGGACAAGGCTCATATGAAATGAACGAAAAGATTATGAAAGAACAAACATAAATGTGGTTTAATAATTTTAACTCCGCCGCCGCGCCGCGCTTACCGCACTTTATTTGGCGCAATGCGTGAAGTATTCATGCAGTCCTATAGGCGCTATGCGTTTCACGCCGCCTGCTGCTAACCGCACTGTCTTTGACGCAATGCGTGAAGTATTCTTGCAGTCTTGTAGGCGCTAATATGTGTTACATGCCGACCGCGGCGCCGAGCCGAGGGTTTCTCCTTTTTATCTTAAGTTCTCGTCATCATTGCTCTCTGCGCCGCGCCGTTCCAAGCCAAATTCCGTGTTCGGTTTCTCTCTTAGTTTTACCTCGACTAATTAAAGGTGCTGTCCCTTGTATCACTGAGAGACGACAAAATTAGAGATATACTCTCAGGAAAGAGAGATTTTGTCATCTTTTCTTGTTTGTAATTTTTTCTGAATCCGATTTTTCTTTATAGCTACATTTAAAAAAATGGCAACATTTGCCGCCATGGGCCGGGGCCCATGTGGCCGACCCCTAAATCCGGCCCTGTCGCAGTATTTACTATAGGCAAATCACTGATAAATTAAAGGGAAAGAAATCACGTTATTCTCATTCGCAGAGATTACCGTCAATCAATGTGTCTCTGCAGGCGGTGAAACCCTGTTATAGTGTTTTTGTGGAACGGAAGTATTTAACATACCTGATTATTTTTACCTATCTACCATACCTGATCTGATTACCTACCATAGTTGATTATTGCGAGACGAACTAATTCGTAACTGCAGCATGCAAGTCCCTAAATTTGGATACTTCATCAATCATCAGGCACATAGTAACGGAGTTTTTGTATGAAAATACAGAACATGCTTTAGTATCATGAAATACTCACCAGTAACAAAAGTATTCGTCTAGAGGATGGGTTTTTCTTGTTAGTTCGCATCGAGTAATTCCAAAATTACGGTGTTAAAGGCGAACTGATGAACAAATCACTCTGTCACAATGTAAAAAATAAATAATATGCATTTTTTATCTGTGCTACATGATTCAACACTGTAAAGCTCCGGGTGAGATCTCTAATTAATTTCGAAAAAAGCTTGAAAGTCTTGAAAAATGCAAAAAAGTGGGATTTTTGGTTCTCTTTTGATGGCTTTTTTGAGGATGAATAGAGCACTGTTCAGTAGCACATACGAATAACGTCCGCCATATCTTTGGCGGCAAAAGCAGAGAGTTAACACTGCGGAGGTGAGCTGAACAAACGTCCTGCAATCCGGCCCGAGGGACCATGTGCATTCGCAGCACAATCACGAGCGCATTGATCGCGGCATGCGAAACTTCGCGCCGCGTCACCGAACCAACTGCCGCGGGAAACCGTCGCCGTCGCGTCGGGCCACGATGCGCCGCGACGCGCGTGCGGGTGGCGCGCCCGGCGTGGCGGGCCAGAGCGCCGCGTTTTATCGATACAGTTCACTAGAGCGCGAATTCGCCATCAAGTTCTCGTCCAGAAACCGATCGGCTTTGTTTTTGAGCACGCCCCATTTTTTTTTTTTTTTTTTTTTTTTTTTTTTTTTTTTTTGATTTTGCAAAACATACGCCATAATGGATATCGTATATTTTTAAAACGTATATATTTATTGTTATGAGGTAGGAGTATTGAGGTTAAGGAGGTAACCTGTTTATTTGGTTCCAATTCGATACAAGTGATTCGACCAAGTGCGTGTATTGCATTGTATTCAAACATAAAGTCCTTTAATTCATACTATGATCATTAATCCTAGGGGTCGTCGAGAAATTACGGAAGGCAGTTTTCTAGCCCCCCCCTCCTTTTTAGAGACCCTTTGGCCCCTTAAAAAGTTACATAAGGTCATCCCGAATCCTCCTTCCTTAAGAGGGAGGGAGGAACGCATTAATTAGCGAGTAGTAGTGGTGAAACAATTAAAGAAGTACGGCGGTACCGCCCTTGTTAAGCATCAAATGTTTGCTCGGGAGAGTCATCACAATAAAATAATACCAATTGTAAACGGACACAGGGGCCGTAAAGAAAAATTGAAACGAAAAAAAATAGGAAATACTTACAAATTTTGGTATAACTTTTCATTCCAAAATTAATTTTTTTCTCGTTTCAGGCGGGCATTACATCTTTTATTTCGTAGAGCAGTGCTTGATTCCCTCCCTCTCCCTTCGCCACACTCCTCTTGCCCCTCCTCCCCTCTTTCGTGCCTACGTAACTTATGGACGGCCCCAATTAAGAGAGGAGCGTGTTACAAACCACGCAAATCACACGCTAAAGAGTAGATCTCAGTCTTTCTTGCTGCACGTATCTTGATTTCCGTGTGTTCCTACCAATAGCAAGTCTGATCACTGAATTTCTTGTGTGAAACAGATACATTTTGCCCATCTCCATGATCATTCACTGCAGACTTCAATTCAGTTTTCCCAAAAATTTTCGTTACACTGTTTTGGCTCACAATCAGATCTGCTTAAAAAAGAACAAGAAAGGGGGCTTTCTTTCTTATATCTTTAGAGCATGAAAGAAGAGAGAAGGAGAAAGAAAGGAACAGCCAAGGGGACAGACACAGCCAATGGTACCCTGCTTGCTTGCAATAACATTGCGCATTACATGGCTCTTCGTCGTCGGCGGCGGCGATCTATCGAGCTGTTGGGTGGTAACCTAGCAACGCGTGTAAGTTGTTTGCGCCTTCAGACAGACTGCACTGCATCCGGCGCGGCGCGACGGAGCATTTCGCTTTCGTCCCGACCTATCCGTCGAAAAATTATTGGGGTAGGTCCAAATCCGTTCTCGCCCTCTATTTCACTCGCGCCCGATGGGGAGCTTCCAGTTTTCTCGTTGGATTTGAAGCTGTGTAAAACGCGACCTCGACGCGCCACTCTTCAGAGATTGTTTGAATGGTCAATACATTCTTGCACTAAAAGCACTTATATACTGTGCGTGGATTTTACGGAAGTACAGCCTTTCTAAAGGCATTCGGGGCAAATAAGTACGGGGGAAAATATTCATTTGGAAAAAAACGAGACGAAAAAATGAGTCGAGTATTGACATTTTGGTAATATAGGCTTTAAATGTTCTCAATAACACCACGGTATTTACCTGTCAAATTACGGACGAGTTTTTTTAGACATACAAATCTACCGATTTTCGAAATACGACATACGATACTATATATAATAAAGAGTTGTTATTTTTGTTCCTCCCCGATCCGATCTAGTATTTTTGAATTATTAAAACGTAAGAACTTGTTTTTCTTCTTTTTTTAAAGTCTGAGTTAATTTTTACTGCAATGAAAAAGAAGGAGGAGAAGAAGAAGAAGAAGAAGAATGAGAAGAAAAAAAATCGTCGTTGCATGATTCCTTTTTGGTATGAAAAATGAATGAGACCACGAAATAATGCGAACGAAAATTACGGGTTCACACTAAAAACAGTTGTGCAACCGCCTTCTTGAGCGAGCGAGGGTCCGGTTCACTCCAGAGTTGCTAGTCACCCATGCTTGTCAAACGTTCTTTCATCCATGCTCTAGCGATATTAAATAAGATTGAGTAAAATAACGAGGTCCCAGAGAGCGCCTGCAATCTCATGCCATACCTCTTCAGTTGCATGCTTGCGCCATCACCGTATTCAAGGGACATCTTATGCTGGCGCAATACTTCACCGCTCGCGACCGTTTTCTTCACGCGCTCTGACTCTGAATGGAATCTTTTGCAGCCTAATTATTAAAATCCTGCGTGTGCCTGTTGGATGGATGCCTTCGATCACCACCCTTGGCAAGGGATTGCCTTCATGCTACTCAACCAGCGCCCCGGCTTGCAGTAAACTTAATCTGGAATTGCTTAACGCGGCTTAACGAGAGATTTCTAAAGCTAACTCATTTTTCCACAATATTTGGAGGGCTGTGCAAGTGTGAGGAAGATTGAAATCCAAGTTTGCCGGAAATATTCACCTGCAAGTTTGCCTATTACAGCTTGAGGCAGAAACCAAAAACGAGTCTTACTTTAGTAATAATGCTGCAACTACAATTTGAGCTTAGAAATCCTAACACCCAGCCTTCAAAATTAAGTCATCTACTCGGATCTAAAAGATAAATGACTTCTGGAGTGGATTTAGCGTCTAAAGTGATGACAGAGTTTGTACTTTCCTAACTTACCATCTCTGTAGTTTGAAGAAACCTCTAATTTCATACTCAGGTAAAAAAGTACGCCTGTCTTACTTAGAATCTATACATTCAATGTATTTTAATATTAACAATGTTACCAACTTGCTGGGATCACTATTGCACTGATCTTCGGCTGATACCCTAGCCAGGGGGCTGATTATTGAAATTGATGGACAAAGCAATAGACAAAGAAGACATAGGAAGTATGAAGCGATCCTTTTGGTTGAAACGGATGCTTCACATACTAAGGGGGGAAATTATGGACTAACTGTAGGGTTTCTTGTAGATTGCCCTTTGTTAATCTAGTACTTACCTCTTTTGTCCATTCCAGCCACCCATTTCAACCAATAGAATCGCTTCAGTTTCCCTCTGTCTCCCATGTCTGCTGCTTTGTCTAACACCCTCAGAAGGACTTAGTTTAACTTGAGAGAAGTAGATTGAGTCAATATAGGTCCCAGCTGGTTTTCGGCCTAGAGGATTTTAGGGCACCGATCCTACTTCAAGCTTGTCTCAGACCCTTTACGATCAAGGGCGTCCGAACTACCTTTTTGTTCTTCGTTGTTTGCTGATAGGAACCCGAGAACCATACGAGTGTTTATTGTACTCTTCTCTCATACCTCGCACTCCCGTGCTCTCTCCGGGTTTTTCTCTCTATTTCTAACGGTGCAAGTATAAGAATAAGAGTATTGCACATGAGTGAAAATTGAGCCAAGCTAAATTCTCATGGGAAAATGACAAACTTGACTCAGGAGAAGATAAAGAACAATAGAGACATGGACCAGATGCACAGCCAGCAAGACCGTTCATTTTTTCTGTCCCCAATTTTTATTTTTCTACTTTGTGGTAACTTATCATTTTTAGTGCTTGTCTTTAAAAAAAAGGTAGGCATATTCTAATTTCCACAGCCATTGATCTCATTGATTATGTTATGAGAGGCACACGAAAGGTCAAAATATTATGACCTCTTTGATATTCAATTGGATAGGTCACTGGAGCAGGTCAAGCTAGTATCCGTGCCTCATAAAAGCAACGTATCATAAGGTTTAGAAGACTCGCTCCGAAACGAGCATATCGACGATGAAAGTCTGAAACCACTTACATCCCTTGCGACACTTAAAAAAACCCCACTTCTTATTTATTTTTTTAAAAAAGAGCGAATCAAAGTCATGATACTGTGAAGTTTTTTTCAGAATTTGTCTTGCTTAGAAGAGAAAAATCCCGGATGTTTTAAGGAATTGACGTTGGGTAATCCTCCATTTAAAAAATGAGGTATGAAAGAAAGTCTGCAACATCCCAAATCAAGATGCGTGGTTTGGATGTTTCACAGTCGATATGCATTGTCATTAAAAGGGAAACAATTGTGCCGTTCGAATATCACTCGCTTACGAGCAATAAATCAAACCGTATCACACCGTTGTATGTTGCGAGATTTGAATTTGTAACATGAAAAACCACGGTTTTTGGAACCGAATAGATTTTTTAAAAAATGACAGATGATCTAGAAATAAATAAGATACAAGTACATGCACGGAAGTAGTTTACTAAAATCTTCCTATTTTGCAATACAACATCTGTTCATTATTCTTAGTATTATGGAAACTTACACATATTATGCTGCATATTCAAATTTATTTTGTACATGTTCTCCGATGTGACTTTTTCGTTCTTAATTTTATCTACAACTATTTACACAATTTGACTCATGAAAAAAAAATATTTCAAAAACAATTATTGCGAGATTAACTGCTACCGAAAAACTGGTGCGCATTTGTTTTCTCGTATCTTGGTGATACTAACGTAGTTGAACCTCAGAATGTCAGTTTCATTATCAAGATATTTTCGCACATCCTGAAACAAAAATAGACTGATTATCAATCAGACCTTAACATACAAAGTTACAATATTACGCCGGCCGCGGACTCACGCCTACAAACCTAAAGGGCTACTTCACGCATTGCGCAATGCTTGAGGTATCCCTTTAGGTTTGTAGGTGTTGCATTGCGCAATGCTTGAAATATCCCTTTAGGTTTGAAGGCGTCAGTGTGCATTTCGAGCTGGCAGCACGCTGCGCCGCAGCGTGCCATAAACTTGCCTACAATTAATAGATCAGAGTGTTAATATGTAGGCAATTTGACATCAAATTCGAAATTAACGACTCAAAAAAACATCAATTACGAAACTTCAGTAGAACAAAACATTACTTTCAGTCATTATCCGACTTATTTGTGCCTATCCTTGAGTTTTGGACCATAGTGCGCCGCGGGCGGCGGCGCTCATGAAATTCTCCCCTGTGCTCAGTCGGAAAGCTTAAGGCCTAGATACACACGGCGATTGATCGCTGTGTGTATCTAGGCCTTTAAAAAGGGGGGGGCAAAATTTGAAATTCCCGCAAAAGAAAATTGGCGGGAATTTCAAAGTTGGCGGGGCATTGAAGTAAGCGGGAAATGTCGAGGTCTGTTAGTAGGGCAAGTGAATCGAAGGTATGCTCCTTTGCTTTGCAGACTATCCAAAAGCGACGAAACGCTCCGTTCCGTTTCGTTTTAGTCTTGGTGTGAAGTTTGAAATAAATACTGATTTTTTCATTCGATTCCTATCGGTTTAATTCCTCCCGGCCAGAGGGAGATTAGATAAATGAGAGTTGAGTATGAAAATCTTTCTATTTTTTTGAGTCGTTCATTTGTCGACGCGGACCTAAGAGAACGCGAAGCGCCCTCTGGTGGTTGGGCCGCAGCCCCCTAGTATATCATAAAGGAAGATATGTTGCTCGGTCTTCTAATGCTGGAATGTTTTCTCTGAAAAATATCGGAATGTTTCAGAAATGAGTTACGGTGTTTCTGCCTTCGACGGAGGAATTGGCAACGGTGGTGCGTCATTGGAGATGGTTTTCAAATATTAACATTTTCATGGTTGACGTTGACGTGACAGCGGTGTTATTATACTTTGTTGCAAATCGGTCTTGCACCGTTACTTATACCAATGAAATTGCCCGCGGAATCAGCTCGCCGAATCATACTCGACCAAAGTATTTGAACAAGAATCGCTCTTTTAAGACGATCTCCACATGCATATCTTTCCTCATTTGCAGACATCTATACTATAAGCTCCAAGACCTCCTAATTTTGCGAAACTGGTGACGCTTAGTTCCAGCGTTCTACCGGGCCGATTTTCATGATTTTTGCGGCTATCGACGGGCAATTGTCTCTAGATAAGCCAACTCTTTTCAGATTTTCAAAATATGGCACAGGTTTTTTTATATTACGTGGTAAAGTTGCGAATTCTCCCATTTAAACAATGTAAATTTATACTTTTTGTCATAGTTCGTTTGAGCGTTCTACCGGGCCGATTTCCATGATTTTTGCGTAGATCGACAGGTAATTGGCCCTAGATGAGCCCGCTCTAATTAGATTTTGGAAATAGGACCCAGGTTTTTTTAAAATCACGTTATAAAAGTGAGTGAATTTACAGAATGCTCCGGGACTGCTACCGCTATGCGCGGGAGGATGCGCAGTGGTCGAAGAGGTTGCGCAGTGGATGTGTAGCCTGCGCATCAGCTCTATACTTATCTACACAAGATTTGCACCTCCTCCCTCAAGACGAGCGGTGGCCGAGTCGTCAAAGACGTCGAATGCGTCCACTTAGACTACGATCTGGGTTCGATTCCCGACTTTTGAAATACATAATTATTACCTGATTATCATTGTTCGTTGTTTTACTGCAATACTTCATCAAGCAGTCATTCTAAAACGCTTTCTTTTGACTTCAAAAAATTATTTTTTTCTTTATTCATCAAAACCAAAAATTATTTCATTCTACAAGTAAAGTATACATCATATCGTAATTTTTTAGGGGGAAAATAAACCTAACACTGATAGGAGGGTAAAAATAGGGCCGCGAAGCGGCCCATTGATGGCGCGGAGCGTCTTCAGGGGGTTGGGCCGCGTAGCGGCCAGGGGGCGTAGCCCCCTAGTAGCTTATATGGGGCGTTCAAGTATTACGTAAAGTCATTCAGGCCGACTTTTTGCCACTCCCTCCTCCTCTTGTAAGGCAACCGTAAGGCAACCTCTCACTCTTCCTTTTTGCAATTATGTAAGACCGGCTAGGCCATCATTCCCTCCTTCCCGTTTTTCAGAAAAATGACGACGAAGCCTAAAAAATATATTGAAAAATTATTTTTATTTATTAAGTTTTTTTTAAAGAGGGATGCTTGCGTAAGCCTGACTTGATCTCTGCCCTCTCTGTAAGACTGTGTAAGGTAAGTGCGAGCTGCAGATGTGATACGAACCCCTCACCATCCTTAAGTAGGGTACGATATGCTTGAAAGATCCCATACCTTAAAAAGGAACAAAATTACTATGAGCTAAGCATGAGTGACCAAAAAAATTGAGGTTGATCGCGGCGCAATATAATAGGTCAGTTTTGCATTTTGATACAAAAAATAAATGCTTGCACGTCAATGGGTAAGGTCGGAACTTTTTTGAAGCGCCGAGAACCTGAGATCCCTTTTCATTTACAGACTTATAGTTTCTATATAACAGTGTACACTATGTTGAGGGGTAACTTCTTTGACATACTTGACCCTTAAACATCGCATACAGTGTGTATTATTAAGAAAAAATCCGACAAAAATCTGATGTGTTTCTGTTTGAAACGCATCGAAGAACGCCGGGAGATAAAAATGAGTAGTTTGTGCGGTCAAACGTGAAATTAATTGCCCCTTACTAGGCCTCGCTTATGTCATTTCTGAGGTGACAATAGTTGCTTTTTTGGAGTATTTGAAGAACATCGGGTCATACTCTCAAACCATAATCGATGATTTCAATGCTAGTATAAGAGTTTGAAATGAACCGTCTCTGAAGGAACAACAGCGCCAGAAAACTTGGACTAAATTTTTCTAAAATTGTCAATGTATCTTCCTCCAAATTGTATAAGTTCTAATATTCTAAAAGGGCCAGTGTTCGGAAAAGTCGGATGTCATTTGCGCTGAAGGATACAGAATATTCTCATTTAAGCTGAGGTATGATCATATCATCCTTTTCTTTCCCTTTCTACTTCCTTTTTTCCACCTAAAGGGTCCATCCACCTAGGGTCTGAAGGTCCTGAACTGACACTAACACATAGATCACTTTACAGGGTGCGAACCAGGCGTTGGGTTTCACGACATCTTGTCAACTATTTTTTGTCCGCGCACCTTTTTTGTCCAGTAGTTTTGTCCCACACGTAAAACGTTTAAAACGTGACAAATATTTGTAAAACCTTTTCCAAGTGACATTAATCTCAATGAGCCGCAGTTGTGCCGAAGGAAACTGCAAAAATTAATAAAAGACGAAAAACAACCCAGAAACACGCAATCTTTAGTTTAAACCCATTTGTGCATCGATCTTTTAGAGTCAAATACGTCAAATTTTGAGCGTTTCGTTGCGCATACACCTCACTGCAGCACAATAAAAGCACAAAATGTAAAAGAAAAAATTAAAGTGCTTTGGAAATCATTAAATTTGACATGGAGCCACCAATATTTACAAAAAACACATTATATTATTATTCTCCTTCGATAAATTTATACATCTTTTTTCCCATCAATTTAAATGAGAATAATCAATGCAGAGTGTTCTAACATTTCAAAATCATGAGTTAAAAAACGCTGACTATGTGAGTATAAATATTAAAGCGGAACAGAGCGGAGCGGCGTACTGTCAGCGCGAGAGGCTCACTGGCGCCTACAAACCTAAGTAAATACTTCACGCATTGCAAAATGCTTGAAGTATCCACTTAGGTTTGTAGGCGCCAATGAGCCTCTCGCGCTGGCCGCCCGCCCGCCGTGCGGCGCGGCGCCTGAAGCAACTATTTTACAACAGAGGTGTTGCACAGTATTATACGAAGTTGAACGTATTAAGAAAAACAGGCATCCTTTAAAAGTACAGATCTTTCCTCGCAAAATAAATCAAGATACTTATCGCACACAGTAAAAATCTAAGAGCCTTTAGCTGAGGCAAATATAGAGGTTCATCCGGTTCAAGTATACCAAGGTGGGAATTTCTTGAAAGATAATTAAGTCCTGTTACACCAAAGAGGGGTAGAGAGTTTTAGTGAATTTCGTCCCATGGAATTGACGCTCCCCCATTTTTACCAAAACTCTCAACTATATATTATCCTCAGTTGGACCAAACAGACAAAACAAAAAAACAAGCAAACCCTAATTCTTCCAAGACATTATATATTTTCATCCAAAAACGTCGTGAGCAATTGTCGTTTGTATTTACATGTGGGCTAATTAACTTTGGGTCTCAACTGGCACGTGGATCAAAACTCCTGTGCCGATAAAACGCGTGGACGTAAATTACTGGAAAAAACAGGTGCGCGGACAAATATCGTTGACGAAATGTCCTATAACCAGGCACTGTGGCATGTTTTCTCTTCAAAATTCAACGCAGAACACGATTCATACAGCGAAAATCATTGAAAGTAACTCCTAACCAAGATATTAAAGTTTTTTTAATAAATAAATTAAAACTCCCCGTTTATAAGAAAATTAATACTCCTGTAAAGTTATAAATCGCCAAAAAGTTACCGTAACAATCTTATGAAAATATAGCTTTCGCAGTCTCAGCGCTTCGCCTCAGCTATTACACACGGTTTATATTTCGAAAAAACTATGCAAAGAAATACCATTGCTCGATTGAGAAGCTCGCATGCCAAAACCGGCGTAGCGAGCGATATTTGATTCAAGTATAGACTCGGGATCTCGGGATTTCCTTGCGAGCGGGAGATTCAAATTTTGCGGAACCAATGCTAAATTAAAACGTTCATATCTCGGTTGTTACTTTCAACAATTTTCCTTGCACTAACCGTGTACTACGTAAATTTAAAGAGCATGCACACATCCGAATGTTTAAATTCGTACTTTGTTTAGTGTTCCATTAACAAGAATGTCTGTAGTATGGCACTCTGATGGGTCCTGCATAAAGTACCCGTCATTCAGATTTTGACGCAGAGTCTTCTTCTTTCTCCTTTTTCATGGTATGATTCGATTCAACTGTGGCCCAGTTTCTGTGGGTTTTCTCGAAGGCCAAAATCAACGCAGAGACGACATGGAAAGTGAAGGAGGAGATAAATGATTGGTAATTCAGCGACGATATTTGGCCGACATACGGAGGAAACGGGCGGTATTCCGGCCGAAAGTGAACTATCTCACGGGACGGACAATGACACAGAATTGACCCGAATCGACGCATCTCTCGTTAGGACTCCGCTAGCGCCAGTCGCAGTCACATTCAGGAGGCGCACGGCACTTTTGACTTCTCTCGAACAACACATGATTGGCCGGGAAATTGATTGTTTCCGTGCAGATTTCGGTTCACCCGTTTTTCACTTTCACGCGTCCGTCGCGCCGCGCTGCCACGCCGCCGCGCCGCTACAAGTGCATCTTGCAACGAAAAATCCGGATTTTGAGAGAGAAAGATGCTCTTATCTGGGCTTCCGCATACGTCATTACTGACACAGTAGTGTATTTTGATGCATGGCAAATGCATACGCACAATTGTTTGAATAAGTACTACAGTTAAGGAATGGACATAAAATAGAAGGATAGGAAAAAAGAAAAAAGAATAGGACACGTATACAAGACAATAATTGAGGACCTTCCGGGAAAAGGGCCCATAACATCGAAAATAGCGTTTTAAGGAAAATAAATATGGTGTTATCATCTGCTGCACCTGTTATCAACTTTGTTATAATAATGGTACAAGTTGAATTTTTTTGCAAATACAATGCAAAAATTTCTTTCAAAACTGGGAAAATATGCCATGCTATGTGATTAGAGTGAAATTTTCGATGATACAGGCAAAAAACCTCACTTTCGCAAATAACTCATAAACCATCATCAAAATATAACCTCTTGAATGATCTGCACACAACGTTTGCCTTCTCTCTCTTTTTTATCCCAGCAGCTCCATGGCTAAGGTAGCTGAGCCAATCAAAAATAGTCCAGAGGTCCATGCCATGGCACAGTGGCCATACTATACCTCCATTAAAGTCGAAGTGTTTCGGAATCATAAAACGCTCAGCGCCAATAGTTACCAACAAAAATTCGTGTGAGCACACCTAGCTAGAGTACATGTATACGGGAAAGAATTGCCATCTCTGTGCCGCTCTCCGATTGGTTCATCAGGTTTAGGCTATCGTGAAGCTCCATAGTTGGCCCAATGTAAACAAATTCTACCCAGAGAAACACGAATTATCGGCTGAGAAATGAATGATAATCACACTCAAAGCTTAATTTTCGGCAAAAATATTCATCAAAGTTCGATCCGAACTCAATTCAGAAGTTGGATATAAAAAAGTTCTATCACGGCCAAAATCACATCTAAAACTTTGTAGAACTTTTTCGCTATCTTGTTTGTTTACGTTGGGCCAAAGCAGGAGCGGAGGGGCTGGGGTCTGTTTACACTGGGCCAACTTTGGGGCTCCATCATAGCCGCAAATTCAGAGAGTAAGTCACTTTTTCTATGGTAAAAGGATTGAGATGGCAATACTCTCCGTATACAGGTACTCTACACCTAGCAATGGGACTGCCAGTTCGTTTTCCCCTCGCTTAGTTCTTATTTCCGGTTGAAAAGGCTTCTCCTCATTTTGCAGTACTAATCCTCCTCAACGTAGTCGATATTGGGCATACTCACTGCAGACGTTGCACTTGGCCTCGTCGGATTCGTCACCGCAGCCGTCTTTGCCGGAGCAGGTGACGGCGCTGGATCGGCAGCGTCCGTTGTTGCAGCGGAACGGGCAGAAGCCGAGCGTGGTGACGTCGCTGTCCCAAGTGGCCGAGCAGGCTTGTGCCAATTCGTCTGAGCCGTCCTTGCAGGCCGCCGCCGCGTTGCAGTATTCGTACTCCGGCACGCACTGCCCGCTCTTGCACCGGTACGTGTGACGCGGACAGTCTGAAACAAGCCGACACCCTCAATTTACATGGACAATTCGAAATGTGGAGGACTTAGGGCTCAAAAAGTCAGTCAATCTTATTACGAAAGAAACAATAGGGTTGCTGCCAACCGCAGAGACAAGAGACCCTCTACTGACCTCTTGGGGAGAGGTGGAAGCTTTTACTTTCATGACTCCAAAATTCAACTGTTGACCTATCTACTGGGTGGATGCTCACCTCGACATATTGAGACTTTCGTTTCGCAAACATACCGAAGTTTGGGAAACTTGTTTGGCTCATGACGTCACCTGAGGTTAATCATTAACCTATAGTTGGATTGCATTTTGCAAAAAGGAACCACTAGCATTGCAATGATGCTAAGATTGTGCAACTTCATCTTTTGCAATAAAGTTGCGGAAATCGTGAAAAACTATGAAATACAGGTGTTAATTTTTGTCTTAGATTTACAGTTTTTAGCGAGTATAGAAACTATTTATGGATAATCGGGGTTTTCCTCCAAGACAAAAGAAGTTGCACAATCTTAGCAACATTGCAATGCTAGTGGTACATTTTTGCAAAATGCAATCCAGTTGGTGGGTCACCATTCGAAAAAAGGGTGATGACTAGTGCTCCCTCATAATTGTCCATGAAGAATTGTTGAATCTCCGGTGTAAAAGCTTCCAATTGACGCCAAGAGGCCAATGGAGGAGCGTCCGCATTTTTTTTTTATATTATTATTCTAAGAGCTTTAAAAGCCTAAGATAGCTGAACCAATCACTAATGGATCCTACAGTGGCCTCACTGCGTCTATTAGGTACTCAACCAAAAACACCTATTCTACGGTTAGGCGAGATGATCAGTTATACCTGGAGCCAATTTTTTTCGGCTCTTTCACACGGAGTTGCAACATCCATCGATGAGTCCAAACCGCACCACCGGCCAATCAGAAGCGATAAGCCGGACTTGAGTGCAGTCAAGACTCGCCTTGAGTATATTTAAGTACGGTAAAAGGACCGACAAAATTCGGCCCCAAGGAAGGAGGAAAAGAGTTGGTACCTTGTTGCGGTCCGACGGTGCAGTTTTGCTCGTCCTCGCCGCCGGGGCAGTCCCAGGCGCCGTCACAGCGGGCCGCCTGCGAGACACAAACGGCCGGCTCGAGTTTTCCACAGCGGAACCCAAGGGTTGGACACCCGTTGGAGCTCCCACCCCGCCCGGGGCCACCGCACGCCTCGTCCGAGCCATCCGCGCAGTCCCGCCGACCGTCGCACACGAAGAACCAGCTTATGCATTTCCCACTGGATTTGCACTGAAAAAATACAACACAATAGGTAAAGGTGATTCGATGGAAGCTACATTTTGTGTCAGAACGATACATACAGCATCGATTAGTTCCATTTTTCAGCCACATGTCATTTTTCTCGAATTTTGTTGTTAGGATAGACTAAAGAATTCACTCACCAATTTTGACAAACAAATTCAACGGAATCAAGGCGTGGTTGTTTTAGAGGAAACATATCGCATTCGATACTGATATAGAAACTGCCCTCGAATGCGATATTTTTTCTCCAAAAAAACCACGGCTTTATTCCGATTAATTTGTTTGTCAAAATTGGTGAGTGAATTCTTTGATCTCCAGACAACATAATTGCGATCTTGAAATTCGAGAAAAATTGCATGCGGCAAAAAACACGGAACCAAGCGATGCGATTTATCGCAAGTCGTTTTGACACAAAATATGGTGTCCATCGAATTACCGTAACTCTCACACGGTAGTTGAGAGTCTCCGTGATTATGGCAACTTTAAGTTACTTGGGGTACTGGTATTTGGAATAGTACTTTGGCAATAGATGCTATTTTCAATAAATCCTTACTTACATCCCCGAGTTATTTATTTGAATGCGCGCACAAGGATAAAAATGAATATCATTATGGGTAGAAGGGAGAGTTGCATGCATGAAATATAATATAAAGGCGCTAACCCCTTCTTCTCTCACTCTCAATTTATGTGTCTCCGTTCAAGTGAAAAGATTTATTCAAAAGTTACACATTTTTTATTTTTCCGCTCTTCCATCTTCATCATCTTTTACTTCATCTACTTCCATAAACTTCATTCCTTTACAAAAAAAAAAAAAAAAAAAAAAAAAAAAAAAAAAAAAAAAAAAAAAAATGAGGGTATCTTTTCATTAAAATAAAAAATGACCATTTTCTGGAAGTTTGCGTGCTCTAAAACGTGTGGTTTCTTTCAGAGGGTTTTATGATTCAACGTCCTCTATTGGAATGATTAAATATTTCATTTTCATTCAATTGCCACTAATATTCACACCTTTTACATCTCTCTATTACACCACGGATAAAATGTGAGGTCAAATGACATAAATAGCGCATGGATTAGTCAAATTGGCTCACCTGGAATGTGTTTGGATGGCACCCTCTGTTGAACGCGTTACAATATGCACCTGTTTCGTTATTTCGCGGCTTGACACAGTCGCATATTCCATTGATGCATCTTGACTCAGGGTCCGCGCGTATACATTGCTTGTGGTGTTTACACACCATCCCCAGTGAGACCTTAAGTGGATCCTTTTCTGGTCCAGTTTTTGTTCCCACGTCTGTTGTAAAATAGTCAAAATAAACACTATTAACATATAAAATTACTCGGAGGTGAAATATTTGAAAGACGCCGCACTCCTGGCGCTAGCCCCTTAAAGACCCCCATGTTTCTGATTCACACTGTTCATGTATGGAGGTCAAAATGAACCTCAATTAGATATTGGGTAATTTTACTCTTATAGTTAGTCCCCACGATGAACATTGTAAGAACTATGTCGATACTATGAAAAAATATAGGATGGAAAATTTACCCTCTGCAGAGTAAGGTATCAACGACCTACGTGCTTTCGTTCTCAGCTCATCATAAATATTTTGATAACTTTGAGATCTCTGAGACTATACTCTGAGGAACTGGGAATTATGATTAATTATCATAATATTTGATGTAATTGATCTTATATGATAATTTCTCTTCCACTCACCGTAAATGTTTTAATTTTTATGATATTTACTGCTGTTGATCATGATGATAAGACATGTGATCTTTGTAATACCAATTAATTCACCATAAATAGTTATACTCTTTCCGATATTTATGCTGTGGACCATAATGATAAGATACGTAATATCTGTAATAAAAATTTATTAATTTTACATTAAGAAAACATGATTTGGACTACATTTTGGAATTAGGAAATACAATTTCTATCTCAGTTTAGGAACAACGCATGCACCATTAGTTTCCTCGTGCACAGTGTTTTTTCCGATGAGCCAGCAATTGTAGTTCCTAACAGCAAAATGTAGTCCATTTCATGATGCTTATGGTCGATTATAGTACGCACTGTAAAGAACAGCAGGGCCCGGCGAGGCGATGATCTTGGTGATGGTGTTGGAGGAGCCCGGGGTGACCGGTCGGATCCAGGTACTTGTAGTGGGTGTCTCGTGGGTCGGTTTCACCAGCATCACACCGAAGCTCGGCTTGCTCTGATTCTTCAGTTTGACCAAACTCAAATATTGGCCAAGCATCTGACTGTCGCTGGGGGTCACCACTGTCGTCCCTGGGAGCCGCGCCGCCGTCGTGTGTTTCAACGGCCTCGGCGTCGTTCGTGCGGGTGCCGGCGTCGTCCACCTCGTCGTCAAACTCGGGCCCGGTGCCCCGTACTGCGCTGGCAAACCAGTTTTATCCGCCGTCGAATTCAGTTTGATCGTCGTGTACTGCGTCGGCCTAGCCGGAAATTTCAAGCGGTGTACAAAATTATTCGTCAAACCGTTGGTTAAGCCACCCGAGAATGTGTTCGTCAAACTGTTTGTTAAACCATTTGTCAAACCGTTTGACAAACTGTTCGTGGGGCATCTCAAACAGTTAACTGTGTTATAACTGGCGGTCGTAGTGGTCTTGGTGAGTTCATTGGTGGTAGGTTTGATTCTGGTGAGGGCCCCATTGTTATCGTTGATAATCCAGGTGGTGAGTTTACCAGGAATCTCCGTGGTACTGGTGACATCGATCGTGAACTTTGGAAAGTTCGGTGTGATCGCTGATGGTGACAGAAACGTTGCCGTATGTTTGTTCGGTTTGTTGGGTTTAATACCTGGCTTGGTCTTTTCAACGAACGTTATCGTCGTCTTGAACGGTTTCAGGGTAGATTGACTAGAGAAAGGTGGCTCCAACTCCGTTGAGATCTTCTCTTGGAGAACTTTATTGGGATTCTCGGTGGGTTTGACTGAGGGTTTGGGTGTCGAGACTTTGAATTTTTGGGGGTTCGGTCGCTGCGTGGGGCTTTGAGGCTTTTTATGGGGTTTCTGGCTAGGACTGACCGAGGAGAATTTGATCGGGGACCGATTGATGAATGAGGTGGGGGAAGGGCTGGAGAGTTGCGATTTTCCTGAAGTGGTTATTTCCGTGGAGACGGCGATCTCCGTGGATTCGGTTGTTTCGACTGGAGAAGGACTGGGCACGCATGCACCGTTCTGCATGGAGCCAAGTGGAGAGTTGCAGACGCATTTTCCGAAGAGGTTTTGGATGAGGAAGTGGCAATGGGTATCGCTATCCCACAACCGGCAGTGAGTATCGCTGTAACAGATCTGCCCCACTTTTGCCGCTGCAACAAAAAAAAAAAATTGTTTGCATTACATTGAGCCGATATAACCTTGAAAAATTAAAAACTCCAGTGGCAAATCCTTACAATTAGACAGGACTTTTAAGGTAGCAATGCTAATCACATTTTACCAGTTAATAAATATTCAACTTTTTTCAAAGAGATTTTTGGACGTCTTACTTCACTATTTATAGAAAATTAATGAACGAAAAAGTTAAGTTTTGCCGCCCGGCCCTTTCTCATTCGATTTGAAACATCTATACAGACCATCGAGTAAACGTGCCGGAGGAGGAGGGGTGCACAAGACGCGTTTATTTGTGTTGGGCACATTTTTTGTGAAAGCCCTGTCAACACTAACACGAGTTCTCGGAACTTTGCGCGAAAGTTCAGTTCCGTAAACCCATCCCTGTTTGGACAAGGCCTTCTATTTATAACAAACGAACGAAAAAATTATAGGAACAAACATAAAAGTGGTTAATAATTTTAACTGCCGCCGCGCCGCGCCGAGACCGCACTACGTTGGGCGCAATGCGTGAAGTATTCATGCAGTCCTGTAGGCGCTATGCGTTTCAAACCGACTGCTGCTGCCCGCCGCCGTGTGTTGGACGCAATGCGTGAAGTATTCATGCAGTTCTGTAGGCGCTATGCTTTTCATGCCGACAGCCGCGCCAAGGGCTTCTTTTTTTCATATCGGTCCTCGTCATCATTGATCTCTGCGCCGCTCCGCCCCAGGTTAAATTGCGAGTTTGGTTTCTCTTTTATAACTCGACTAATTAAAGGTGCTGTCTCTTGTATCACCGGAAGATGACAAAATCAGAAATTACCATACTATTTCTCTCAAAAAAATAAGAGATTTTGTCGCCTTTTCTCGTGGTAATTTATTTTCTGAATCCGATTTTTTTCTCTCTTTTTTTTGATACCTATATTCAAAAAGACTGTAAAATGGGCCTGTTGCAAACTTTTGCTAGAGCAAAACTAAGAGTTGTTTCTTATAGATAATGCCTCAAAAATCACGATGAGCGCATCGGCAAACTCTGAAATGCACTCATAACTTCACAATCTGCGTAAGAAATTTGCGGTTTTTTGAGCTTCCCGCTTCAAAAACGATACTACGGCACAGGTGAACATTTTGTAAGAGGAGTCGTTCCATCGTCGGCAATAATCATCATAGCCGACGCCAATCCGCCAAAACACGTTTGATGGGACGAGATAACACCTGAACTGGATTAGACCAGATAACAATCGGTGTGTTAACGTTCATATTTTCCACGCCCGAATTGATTGACCTTGAACTCTCCTTGAATTACGCGCGGAACTGCGTGCAAGCGTCGGCCATGATGAATATCGCCGACGATGGAGCGACTCCTCTAACAAAATGTTCACCTATGCCGTAGTATCGTTTTTGAAGCGGGAAGCTTAAAAAAACGCAAATTTCTTACGCAGATTGTGAAGTTATGAGTGCATTTCAGACTTTGCCGATGCGCTCATCGTGATTTTTGAGGCATTATCTACAAGAAACAACTCTTATTTTTGCTCTAGCAAAAGTTTGCAACAGGCCCATTTGCCGCCCCTTACATTTTGCCGCCATGGGCCGCAGCCCACGTGGCCTCCCCCCTTAATCCGGCCCTGTAGGATACCTAAGTTGATTCAATAAGAAAAGCTTTTAAATGTTAAGCTCAGAAACTTCCGGCGCGCGTAAAAAATCACTACGCTATAGAGTTTTACACAGACGTATTTGGTTCATTTTGGAAAAGCACACTCCCACCACTATTCAACAGAGGTAAGCAGCTATACCCCACGTCGGTTATGAGTTCTTCTTTCCAGTTTTCAAATGTAATAAAAAAAAAATGACCCGGATGTAACTATACGCAAGAGATTTGGTCGAAAAATAACAATCCTAATACTTCATATTTTACGGTTGATTTTCCAATCTAATGTGATCTGGAACTGGGAGCTCAATGACTTTCTACGATAGTTGCAATATTGCGTCTTAAAATTGTCACCCCGCTGACCGTTTTAGTGTTACGTCACAGTTCGAGACATGACCGGGATATGTTCCTGGCCGGGATGTAGTTGGTCTGATTTACACAGAATTTTACCTTAGGACGGAAAGTCAACAATACAATTTTGCAACTTTTTTGGGGGGAGTTAAATACAATTTATCGTGCTACAATTATAGTGTAACATTATGAGCTCACAATTCTCTAGAAATTATATTGTAATATATTGGAACGAATGTTACTTGAGATAGGAAACTTTTTGGGAAAGAAATTCTTAATTTTGACAAAAAATTGTGAAATTTTGATTTTAACGCGAGGAAAGTCCCGTCGGAAAGTTGTGTCGCCACAACTGACAACACTAACTTTGTTTCATATCTCAAGAATTGTCATACCTACTCATCTTTTGTAGCACCTTTCATTTCCAATTTTAAAATGTCGGTTACATTTACGGAACCGACAAAATGTGGCAGTTTCACCGTATTTAACAGGATTCCCGGCCGACAGAGTTGAGATCTGACTTGAGGTTTCTGTTTTCTTAAAAGTTTTAATTTTTAGTATAAAAAAGAAATTTTCCCTACGAAAGCTGAGAAATAGCATTTTCAATCCCTTTACAATTTTAAAGTAAATATTTTTTAAAATTCGTCCTTGTCTATGTTCAAAGAGTTGCATAATCTCAAGAAACATTTCCAGTTATCTTCAACTACCAACTAACAATAAGTCCGTTTTATTCGAAGTCATCCAATTCCGGGTCAGAAAAGAATTTCTTCGCGGAACTAGGCCAGGCTGATTTCAGCTCTTAACCTTGCATTAGCTGAGAAACGAGATTGGATGGGACTTATGGTCGTGAAGAGGCTGGGTGCCCCTGGCCGTGGCAATAGGCATGCAACACGCAGACACTGGAGGCGTTCGAGCGCGCGTCGAGTCTTGGATCGGGCACCGGCACTCGGGACACGTGACGAGGAAACGTCACGTTTGGAGGAACAAAAACCTCTAATCAAGGATAATTCACGGCAGGTATAGGGACTCGAATCGGAGGAGAAAAGAAGCACGCAGAGGAAAGCACGAAGCGGCACGCGACGCCATGGACGGACACCGGCAGAAGCTCAAAGCCATGAGCCATCGGTTCTGCACATTATGAATGGGTCCTGCGGCTCCGCCCTTGAGACACTGAACCTTTATGCCACATTTTGCAAGTAATTCTCAACACGGGTAGGTCGGTAAAATTACGTATGAGGTAACAGGTCTTAATTTGTAAGGCTAGCTAGAAATTAAGTAAATTGACTGCAAACTGCTGCAACTTCCGTAGTGAACTCTGGGAACTTCTTAAGGAAGGATTACGATCTAGTAAAATTGGACGTATTTCTGCCAAACGGAACTATGTGCAATGACGTGAGCCCTGTTATGCATATATTCTGATGGGTCTCAGGGCTCATGTCTTAATGCACATAGTTCCGTTTGGCAGAAATACGTCCGATTGATCCAATTGTCAATTTTGGAATACTCTTTACATTGTTTCTGGACTGATTTTTTATTTCTTTTTTTGAGCTTATTTTAAATGTAGACCCGACCCTACATCAGGGCTGCTTTGGTCATCATTACTTCATCATCATGTATAATTCTGTCAACGTCAGGAGTCCCACCTGAACCCACTGTAGTTTAATTACATGAGACCTTGGCAAAAATTGGCGATAGTAGCTGCGTTTCAAAATACCATAGGAGTTCTTATAGCCGACTGAAGAAGGCTATTAAAAATCATATAGCTGGCTGTAGAAAGCGGAGCAAATCGTATAGCTGGGCTATACGAAGCTATAAAAAAGTATACAGTCGAGCTATAGTTCCTATCGCCGGGCTTTACACTTTATCGCCATTGGCTATAAAAGGCTGTAAGAAATTGTGTGGAAATTCGTGTGCTTTGGAAATAATTAAGTTTGATACGGAACTACCTTAATATTTACAAAACACACATTATATTTTCCTTTAAAACATATTGTTTCTTCATCAATTAAAATGAGATGGTCCATACAGAGTGTGCAAACATTTCAAAATCATGAGTTGAAAAACGCTGACTCCGCAAGATAAATTATTAGAGCCTGATACAAAGCGGAGCGGCGACACACTGGCGCCTACAAACCTAACAGGGATACTTCACGCATTGCGCAATGCGTGAAATATCCCTGTTAGGTTTGTAGGCGCCAGTAGGCGCATTGCGCAATGCGTGAAGTATCCCTGTTAGGTTTGTAGGCGCCAATGCGCGTTTCGCACTCTCTACCCGCCTGCCGCGTCGCAGCGTGCCACGCCACGGCGTCTGAAGCAACTATTTCACACCAGATGTATTGCACAGTATCATAAGGAATTAAAGGCGCTCCAACATATTGAGAATGACAGGTATCCTTCAAAAGTACGGAGCTTTCCTCGCAAAATAAATCAAGATGCTACGGCACAAAAAGAGAGCTTCTTCTTCTTCTTCTTCTTCTACTAACGACTAGGGCATGGCCCTGTTTGTCAAGCCTTTGAGTGCCAAGCACAAAATATTAAAAATTTAATAATTATCTGTAAAGATTCGTCAAGTCAATAAAACAAATAGCAACAGAAAAAGAGAGCGGTAGTCCAAAAACTAACTAAGTCGTAGTATCCGTATTTAGTAACGTTTAGCATAAACTTTATCGTCTGAGCCGATGGCGATTAAGCAACAGTGTTGCTTAATCGCCATCGGCTATAAAAGGCTATAAGAAATTGTACAGGCGGCTACAGAAGCTGTTGGAAATCTGACAGCCGGCTTTAGGTCTATAGTATTTTGGAACACACATTCTACTGCCAATTTTTACCAGGGGAGTTTAGCATAGCAAAAATTAGTTCATTACAATTAATTTTATCATATTTTTATATCGGTGGAGAGATACCGGTAACAAGTTTTGGATTGAGTAACCCCCGAAAAAAGGCGACGAAGACGTCTCATGAAGAGATGAAGGCAAGGTGTCAACGAAAAGGTTTACCGTCGTCATGTCAATTGCCTGATAGTCATTGGGACGATAGGTCATATGCGGCGTTTGGATGCCGCAGAGCGTCAGAGTGCGCTGTAGGAGCGACTCGCGGGTATTAGAGGGTGACATCCAATAGAGGATATAAATTCCAGAAAGAGGAAATAGAAATCAGAAGATGTCCATAAAATTGGGAGAGCTCCCAATGGGGAGAGCATCATGCAGAAAACGCCGCTAACAGTGGCGTGGCGTATTTTGCGATTTATCGATTGATCTGCCATTTAAACCTATGGTAAAGAATCGATTATTAAGGTGATCGCTGCGAACACCCTGTTTATCGATCTTTTTCCATAGGTTTATATGGCATAACAATCGATATATCGCAATTTACGCCACGCCACTGGCCGCTAAGGACGTTGACCATAGCCATGAAGTTGGAATGAGGGGGGCGGGGAGGAGAGGGCATCTACCGCGTTCTGATGAACTCATACTTCCGTTGTCATATTTGCCTAATATTTTCCGTGCACACATCATCGGCGGGGCCGGCGATTGCCTACCGGTTACCTATGTGACGCATTCGTTCTTACAAAACCGCGTAGCTGCCATTAGATCCTTATGGCAATTCGCGGCATTTATGTGAGGTGGTAGCTCTTCCTTCAGAAATTCTACGCGGGGCCTCGCTGGAGATGGCACCATCAGAGCATGTTCCGTTGGAATGGAGTGTTTACCCTTTTTCCAGCTTTGCGAAAAGTGTCATGGTATTTGCAAAGAGAGCACCAGGTGTGTAAGAGGAGAGGCGGAGTGTTTAATGAGCTGGTGACGTGTAGGTCAAAACACGGCATTAATTCCGAGGACCTCATGAGATATTTGAACGAATTTTTGCCAAACATAACCATGTGCACTGAGACATGAGCCCTGAGATCCGTAAGAATATATGCTCAACATGGCTCACGTCATAATGCACATAGTTCCGTTTGACAGAAGCACGTCCATTTTAGGAGACTGTTCAAAGTGTAGGTATACTCTGCTAGGAAAGTAATTGCGATTGGTGTAATGCTGACCTGCCTTCGTTAACGTTCTTTCCGAATCTTACTTCTATATATTATAATATAATATGTATAAAATCACAAGAGTAATGCGTGAAGCATGACGTCTAAGGCGCGAAACGCTTCGGAGGGCTGGACCGCGAAGCAGTCATGGGGTGTAGCCACATATTTTAATTTAAATTCACGAAACTTACTCCTGCTACTCTTCAAATATATGGAGTTTGTTTTTTCATTGAGGAGGAGGGAATAGAATTTTTTCGAGCCGAGCTTTTTGCCATGAGTTTTTGTACCTAACCTAAGCTCGTCGTTTAAGTTTTCGTGAATGAGGTGGTTATAGACTTAATACTAGGTGAGCTCCTCCAGAGGCGGGTCCAGTAATTTGGCAACACCGGATTTCCACAATTTAAACCTATGCTAAATCATCGATTCTTGTCGAAGCACCTGGGCCCTCAAAGAATCGATTCATTTCCATAGGTTCAAATGGAGAAAATACAATGTTGCCAATTTGCTGGATCCGCCAATGAGCCCCTCACTCATAAACCTTAACGCGTCATGACTCTGATCATGTTGAAAGACAGTCTTACTTACTCTCATTCATTTCTGCAGCTCCTCAGTCCAGCTAACTTCTGTGATAAGAAAAAGTTTATCACTCAGGTAATTGAAAGCGCTTACCATGTCGGGTTAGATTTTTCGAATCTTTGAACGTGGTGCGAAAAAATGAAGACGTTCAATGCCCTATGTGAAGCAAATTAAGATAAATGGGCCTGTTGCAAACTTTTGCTAGAGCAAAAATAAGAGTTGTTTCCTTTATATAATGCCTCAAAAATCACGATGTGCGCATCGGCAAAGTCTGAAATGCACTCATAACTTCACAATCTGCGTAAGAAATTTGCGTTTTTTTGAGCTTCCCGCTTCAAAAACGATACTACGGCACAGGTGAACATTTTGTTAGAAGAGTCGCTCCATCGTCGGCAATATTCATCATGGCCGACGCTTTCGCAGTTCCGCGCGTATTTCGAGGAGAGTTCAAGGTCAATCAAGGCGGGTGAGGAAAATATGAACGTAAACACGCCGATTGTTATCTAGTCTAATCCTGTTCAGGTGTTATCTCGTCCCATCACAGGTGTTTTGGCGGATTGTCGTCGGCCATGATGAGTATTGCCGACGATGGAACGACTCCTCTAACAAAATGTTCACCTGTGCCGTAGTATCGTTTTTGAAGCGGGAAGCTCAAAAAACCGCAAATTTCTTACGCAGATTGTGAAGTTATGAGTGCATTTCAGACTTTGCCGATGCGCTCATCGTGATTTTTGAGGCATTATCTATAAGAAACAACTCTTATTTTTGCTCTAGCAAAAGTTTGCAACAGGCCCATTATCATGGGGTAACATATAAATAAGACGGATTTAAACTTACGAGTTAGACAGGTGTGTCGTCGAAACTGGAGGAAGCCTTGCTCACATTGGCACGTTCCTTGTATGCAAGAGCTGTTGGCTACTTTTTGTGAACATTGCTCAGGCACGTGACATTCAAATCCGAGCAACGTGGCTGTATAGAAACAGATGAATATTACATGTTAGCGTAAACAAGTATATAAATTTACTGTAAACTCTTATCAAGTCTTCTGAGTCAATATGGTTTATTAGTACGGTTATAAATGCACAAATGGAAGTCCCTCATGTGCTGTTGGTATAAAAAAATTTGGTGCGAATCTCTTCGTTTAATCTTGTGGAGTTCGATATGGTGTGTTTTCGAGTTTAAAAATGAAACCGAGGCCCCAAATTTACGCTTTTTTCCGAACTGTCACAAAAGTTTTGGAAACGCGTATTTTTTTCCAATATATTAGAAATCTTTAACATAAACAGCTTAAGTTAAAGGAGTCTCATTCTCCAGAATGAACTAAAAATATTTATCTTAGAGAAGTAATAAATCCAACATTACACTATATTCAAGTGCAAAGGAACAAAAAATCGTTTGTCAAGATACGCTGAACAATGAGACATTCTCAAACTTTACTTTAGCAAGAAAACTCGTTCTCAAGCTGCTATATCACTATGACTTCATTTTTTTAGGAAATTACATGATAAAAAATTGTATAAAACTGCAATATCTGCATTCCGAAAAGCTCAGCTCTAGGTGCCGCGCTCTTCGAGGTGCAGTATGGATATTGCCGAAAAACTTATTACCTTACATGAATGAGCAAAAAGTAAGCATCAGAGAAAACTTTTACATTGGTGTAAGTACGGCAAATACGGCCAATAGTGCATAAAATGGTCGGCGGTCAAAAGTTAACGAAAAAGCTCCTTCCCTTTAAAACCGCCATTTTCGGAGCCGAGACTCAAGAAAGCCCTGAATTACGAAAATTATAATTAATTGCTATGATACTAGTAGGTAAGTCGCTGGAGCCAATTTTGCCCGAAAAAGTGTACTTAAGATGTATTTTCCAACATGATTTAAAACATGCAAATATTCGCAATTTTTGATGTTGAACTTTAAAAATGATCTCAACAAAACAATATTCTTTGACGATTTACAATGCGTGATCGTAAACTCCTCATTTTCCATACTGCCTGCGTATTGTTGGTATTGCACGGGGTGTGAAAAACATTTTTTTTAAAAGTTATACGATCGTTGATTCTCATGTAATTCCTAGCCTCCAACCTGCATTCGAAGTCCGAGCTATGCGCATTTATTTACACTTGTTGTAGTTAAGGACATCTCCTGTAGAGCCCTAATCCTGTATATCCCCAATCGGCTACATCGGCGAGGAAACCATTCACTCAAGATTTTCACCAGACGAAGGCACGTGGAAAAATTCTGGCTTCTAATAATTGTTATAAGTTTATTTCGTTTCTTGACGAATTAAAGCCCACCCGGCGGCAAAATGCGCAAAATTTCTATTACAACATTGTGTAACAACGCCATTTTTGAGACAGGTCGTTGTGACAACAGTGACACAACGTTTTTGCACATGCTTTACCGAGCGGCAGGCTCCCAAGTTACGGGACGAAAAACCATTCGGTAAAATTTACTTTCTACCGATGAATTTAACAACGAAAATGATAATGTTACACTTGTGAAAACCAATTAGCCGACTACTGCAAGCTACTTGAAAATATCTCGTACCTGACCGAGTTGCTTCTTTCGTCCATGCGCTACCTGACCCACAAATCGTGAGCAAAAGCTTCCGAGGGGAACTAGATATCTCCGTCATCACCTGACGTCTCGTGTATGCTCCTCTCTTCTACTTACTTCATTCTGGAAGCTCACAAGCTCCCGATCACGACGCGACGCTAGTGACCGTAAAGGAAGCGGGGCTTGTATTTGTGTGATGGAAAATCGGACCCACGGCTGCTGCCGCCAAAAGAGAGAGGGAGGAAAAGAGAAAACCCAGACCGCCCGTCATTGCGACCCGACTATCTTCGGTCATAGAACCGACAAATTCAGTTTTCTCGCCGCGCTGATGCCATCTATGGATGTCCATTAACACTTTATCTTACGTCCTGTGACGTTTTTTTCCGCCTGCCGCCTCGCTCACCAGTCTTTGTGGCGCAAAATCATCAATTGAGTGGCTTGGAGGACAAGGCGCATAAGTGCAGTTTTTACCATTTCGAGAAATGCGTGTTCAAAGTTTCCATATTACACGGACCTTTATGGCCGAAAGAAAGTTCAAAGTGACTTTTTGATACTTAAAAATTGGAATTTGGCAGCGAATTTTTCACAGGATATTCATTAAGACTATATGTAGTTTCACTTAAAATCATCAATATCTCCATTTTATCAAAAACTGCACTTATGCGCCTTGTCCTCCTAGCCCCCAATTTTCCCTTTCGTTTCGCGTTGCATTGAAGAGGCATATTTTGATACTACGTTTAATGCACCAAACTGAAGGAATGGGCTTGTTGCAACTTTCAACCAGAGCAAAAAGAATAAAAGTTGTTGCCTAAGGAAAATGGTTCAAAAATCACAATGAGCGCAGCGGGAAAGTCTGCAATATACTCCTGACTTCACTCTTTGCCTAAGAAATATGCGTTTTATTGAGCTTCCTGCTTCAAAAACGATACTACGCCACAGGTGAATATTTCGGTAGAGGAATCATTTAAGTCAACCCTTGCGAACTAGGATGCTACGCAATATTCAGCATGGCTGACGCGTCCGCGCGCAAATCGTGATGAAGCATCATGGTCTTCATAAACGCCAGGAAAATGTAAATAACACGCCGGTTGATAAAATCCCGTCTCGTCACGTGTGTTCTGGCGGGATATCGTCGCGTCGGCCATGTTGAATATTGCGTAGCATCCTAGTGCGTAAAGGCTGGATGGAACGGCGCTTCTCACGGAATGTTCATCTGTTCTGCAGCATCGTTTTTGAAGCAGGATGCTCAAAAAAAGCGCATATTGCGTACGCAAATTGTGAAGTCAAGACTGTATTGCTGATTTTCCAGATGCGCTCATCGTAATTTTGGAGCCATTTTCTACGAGGATTAACTCTACTTTTTGCCCTGGCTGAAGTTTGCAACAGGCCCAATGCGGAGCGAAGTGAGAGGGAGGTAAGTTTGCAATTCTGAGGGGAATCATAAGTGGATTACATTTTGCAATAAGGAACCACTATTTCTTGCCCATTTTAGAAACAGCATACATGGCATTGGTTTCCCTATGCAGATATGTGTTTTTATAGGAGAGCCAGAGATAGTGGTTCCTTTTTGCAAAATGTGATCCAAGTAATACTGGTACATGCATTTTGCAAAAAGGCAAAAATTTTTGTTACAGTGTTACAAGTTTATTTGTTGAGGATTTTTTTTTTTTTTTTTAATTTTTTATTTGAGAAAAAGATTTAATGAGAAAGTAGTAGAAGAAGAAGAAAAGAGAATGAAGATGAAATCAAGGAGGAACGAGGAAAAAAGAGAAAAAGAGAAAGAGCAAATTGAGGAGAGACTCTGAACACACTAAAAAAATAACTTTTTATCACACGGAAACAGATCAAATGAACGGCATGTTGCGTCGCCTTCAAAAGCGTAGACAACACAAGCTCCCAAGAGGATGAATAGTGGTTTCGTCGTGCAATGGCACGATCACTCAAGAGTCAGACGAAGAAGAGTTTTTTACCAAACGAGAAGCGGTTACTTTAACGACGTATCGGTTTGCCTTCAATTTTTAGTGTAGGCAACAGAAGCTCCCACGTGGTCGAATAGTGGTATCATCCCCTTCCTGACAATCGAACTATCTCTGTGGTCCAATACTGGAAGTATTTAGCTCACTATTTTAGAGGCTGCATTAAAACATTCTTCTTACCACAAGCAGGAGGAGACAGAGAAAATCTCAAAATGTATCATGCTTATACATATGTCTTGTCATTTACTTACAAAGTTTTCTTTTAGAATTTTTCAAGTTTTTTAGATGCGATTTTTTTGCTTCGACCAAGTTTTCTCGGAAAAAGTTGTGCAGTGAAATTGTACATGCAAGTAGGTTAGCTAAAACGGTAATCCCGGTTTGTCTTTCTGTGTCTAGCCGATATCAATTTAGAAAATTGGGTCTCATTCATTCATTCACGAAACAAGCGCGAAGCCCTGGATTTTAGGGGGTTTTCTTTAAGGATCAAAAAACTGAAAACAAAACATATCTTTCTCTGTAAGAGTGATAATTGCGCAGTCTACTATTTACTTTTCTCGGAGTGGTTATGATAATAATGGCGCGGATGCACCGGCAGAATCAACGACTGCCAATCATTGCTGTCAAACTGGAGCAGGCATTGTAGCCCGAAATCAAACCGCTACTCGGCACCGTTGCCGAGCGGTCACCCGACCATCGAATTTCCCCATGAAATCGGGATGGATCCGGAGGAATTTCTCGGCTTGATCCGACGCATCGCGTGTTCGGCCGGATAATTTAGCTCTCATCGGTTCCTTATTCGGGGCCTGCGTCAACGCTCAACAACCAATTACCATGATTCAATTTGTAAATGATTTTCCCGCTCCCCGCTCTCTCCCCGGTGGAAAGTCAAAACGCTTCAAGCTTTGCATCAATCTAATCACTCTTTGATTATTGCCGGATGCGGGGGGTGGGGGGGGATGGGCAGAAGCGTAACGGGCCTGTTGTACCCGTTGGAAAAAGAAACCACGAGCAACTCATTGAAGTTAAATTCGATTAGCTGAAAGTGACACACTCTCGTCGGCTCCCATTGACTGAGCTCACGTTCCATAGTTGTCACATTGATTTCAGGCAAGTTCAGGTGGATTATGGATAAAAATATTAGCTGTTCCAGGCTCGCTGAGGGGAGCGGGGAGCCTGACATTGAGCCACACGGTCAAAAATTCCCGTGGTTTATGATTACCATCGATAATTTGTGGTACCTTTTTTCGGTCGGATTAACCGAAAGGACTAGGTTGATCGATCGAAGTTTTGGTTAAGTAGACCGGAACAGTAGGTTACTCAGAGACATCTGGGGATAAAGAAAGTGTCCTGCTGATGTACTTTTGTTTCTGCCGCTGTCACTCGAGGTAGCGAATTGAGAGTGGCTAGCACATAGAACTATTAATAGCCTAGGATGCTGAGTGTCTATAAATAAATCAACTAACTAACTAACTATCACCATTGAGATTCAGGTCCGATCCTGGCGGCTTGCGCTTGATTTTTTACAAGGTTGTCAATTTTCGACCTAAAGATTTGTACAACGTAACCCAATCATTTGATCCTTGCAATCCAAAGAAAACCAAACAAAAATATTGACCGCAGGTTCAGATTAATCTGTGTTATATTTGGTGATAGGTCAAAATGTCCAAAAAAAATGTCCAAAAGTCAAAATGTCCAAATCCTGAATGCCCAAAAATCTAGAAAGGCCAAATATCAGTAATATCCAGGAGACAAATAAGTCCAAAAGTAGGTGAATGTCCAAATTAAGTTGTCATGGACAAGATTAATTTTTTTTTTTTTTTTTTTTTTTTGCTTTTCATGACAAACGGGGTAATATTAGACATGTTTGTTATGTTTGTCAATATCACTTACAATTTGGAAAATAAATCACATTGCGTTTTTAAAAGTAAGAATTTGCCTGCTCTCATGAAAAATTGTATCACCATATTTTCCTAACCTGCATCTCTTCATTATCCGACGCATCTGTTTCTATGGCTGCATTCACAAACAGCTTGCCAACCTGCACCCAAAAATCCAATGACAACTCAACCAATGTCTAATCTCACATTTGGACCTTTGCCTACTTTTGGACTTATTTGTCTGCTGGACATTACTGATATTTAGCCTTTTTAGGTTTTTGGGCATTCAGGGTTTGGACATTTTGACTTTTGGACATTTTTTTTGGACATTTTGACCTATCACCATATATTTCCCATATGAACACAAAATGCCGGTCAATTTGTCTTAATGTAATCCAAATCTTGTGAATTTTTTTCAGTTTAAATCGATTCTCTGAGATATAAGAAAGACTTGTAATGATCAAGTATGAAAACGGAGGAAAAACAAAGCAGCAGGATGTTTGGCGTTCTGGGAGAGCGGGAAAGTCAGGAAATTCCGCGAGCAGTGCATTGGCTCGGCGTGAACAACTGCGGCGCCTTTGTCTATTATTTGGACGTATTTCTGCCAAACGGAACTGTGTGCATTAAAACATGAGTCCTGAGACCCATAAAGAATATATGCATAACAGGGCTTATGTCGTAATGCACATAGTTCCGTTTGGCAGGAATACGTCGATTTGAATCTCTAGCAGAGCTGCGAAACGAGCGGAATTCTAAATAGGGTGCCAGGTCCGAAGATACGGAAATTTTGGTTCCGGTTCTTTCAACTTCGAATTCGGGTTCTGGTTCAAGTTGAAACCTGAGAGACTGACCAGTTTTTTTCCATGGAATTTAATTTTTTTTTTCCAAAAAGATTTTAAGGTGATGTGGATATGCGACTTTTGCGCACTATTACGTTTTTAAAACTTGTAAAAATTAAAAAAAAAAATCGGTCCCCTTAGGAGCCTAAGGAGCGATGTTCTTGGGTTACGCTTACGCACGATCGACGCGTGAACCGCGTACACTGAAAAAAAAAACACATTGGATCTAGAGTTCAGACTCTTAAAAACATCGACAAGAAAAAATACTCTTGATTTAATCGGATTTTTGCTTAAATCAAGAACCGATCCTCTTAATTTGAGCGGATTTCCTTTTGATTTAAGCTTAAATCTGATTGAATCAAGAATATTTTTTCTTGTCAATGTTTTCAAGAGTCTGGACTCTAGATCCAATGTGTTTTTTTTTCCAGTGTACGGGACCAGTTATTTTTAAAACTCTCCTCCGCTCAGTGATTCTAATACTGAGATTTTTTATTTTTCTGGCACTATTGGCTACAAGATTTTTTTTCTTTTTTTGTGTGTGGACGGATGAATAGTTATAAAATTTGATCGGTTTGAACTTACATTGAAGGCAAACTGTGTAGTTGTAGGAAGCGTAATATGGAAGACACGAACATTTCCCCGAATAGCAGTGGCTGTTTTCGATAGAGCAATCCTCGTTAGCCGCGCAGGTTTCCCCTAATTCTGATCCATTCAACAGTAAGCACATCTGAAATACACAAAACATTTGATTACTGTAAAATGTCGCAATTGCCACAGAAATGCGGAAAAAGTAATGATTATTTATGAAAATTTTACTAGAGCGAAAAATATTTGCGGAGGACCCAGAAATTTCTTAGTTCAGTTTTCGATGGAAGGATGAAAGAATACCCACTAATGGGTAGAGGGGAGAAAGGGTTACGTCCTATAAAATGTGGCCCATACAGCACCCTTACCAGGCTTTTTTTACGGTTATTAAAGGTCGGACTAGATCGGGGACCGCGGAAACTAAAAGAGAATTAATCCCAAGGAATCGAAGTCCCGAAGCCCCCCTCCCCGGTGTCCTCTAGGGGATTTAGCGGAGCCCTGATTTTAAAATTCGAGATTCCCGGCATAAATTTGTAAAAATTCTATCAAAGTTAAAAAACACGAAAAATTTTAACCTTTTAATCGACACCAAGAATTCCATAATTGCCCCATCCCTGAAAAAAAGTCTGATCCCTTAAGATTGGAGGCAGAGGTAGAGCCCCGCTCTGCAAGATATCAGGTTACGAAATTGACGTAGAGACTTAGGAGAAATATATTTATAGAGGTGCTTGGCCCTTGGGACCCGAATTCGATGGTCCCGTGAGCCCCCAAGGAATGAAGCTCAGGGGACCCTAAACTTTTCAAATCCAAGGAGTCTAGGGTCAACTTATGCTCCTCATCAGTGCTATGGATCCAAAGCCGAAGTTGTCGGAGACCCTGAGCAGCTTATAAAAAGAAGAGCCTGAGACGAGACCGCTGGGAAGTAGGTATATACGTGGGATCGGGGAGGAAGCGTCAGAGGTGAGGAAAACACTCATTAGAGAGCAAACTGCTTTAAATCGGAAGGATACTGTTAGTCGAGCCGGCTGATTACCAGCCATTGTTTTTATTTTTCTGAGACGTTGAAGATATGGCGTTTGTCAAGGCGAATGACACTTACTTTTCCCTATAATGAGCGGTGGCAAAGAGGCTAAGGAAATAAATGTGATTTAAGATTCGCGCTCGAACTACGCATTTCTAGCGACGTCGCGCGTCGCACACTGGAGCCGATTACCGGTTTAGCTCGTCAAAACTCAACTTTCATTCACTATTCATGCTCTTTCATATAGTAGTGCTTACGGCCAGTTTTATCACCCTCACTCCAATTTTGCCTTTCGTCAAAGGAATGTTTTATCGCTATTTCCGGGGTTTTGTGGGGTTTTATGTTATATATTTAGGGTCTGGGTGACACATCACTGGAAAAAGAAGTCGCTTGGATCTAGATTTCAGACTCTTAAAAACATTGACAAGAAAAAATTCTCTTGATTCATTCGGATTTTTGCTTGAATCAAAAGGAAATACGCTTGAATCAAGAAGCTTGGCTCTTTGATTCAAGGAAAAATCCGATCTGAATCAAGAGTATTTTTTCTTGTCAACGTTAATTAAGAATCTGGTCTCTAGATCAAAGCGACTTTTTTTTTCAGTGCACGGAGAAAAAAACACGGTTATTCCACGGTAGTAATGTCACACGGAATTTCACGATAGTTGAACCGAGGATTTTGGTAAGATTATTGATGAGCATAGTGGCATAATCATGCTCATGGTACCATTTTTGTGCCCACGGTAATATTACGGTGGACACGGTAACATCCCCGTGCTCATCATTCCAATAATCAAAATCCACGATTCTGTACTACCGAGGAATCTTGTGTGGCATTACTATCGTGGTAACCGTAGAATAATTGTGTGTTTTTTTTTTCTCAGTGAATTTTTGGTAATGATAAGATGCATCGCAAGTAAAAGTCATTGCCTTTGGTAAAAAGTTAACAGGCAATAGGAGAGCTTTTTGAAATGTTATCCGGAGGATGAATCCGTGAAAGAGGGTGGTAGGATCTAGGCCTCAGCAAAGGATCATTGGACCCAAATCCCAAATTGGAATGTTAAGTATCGGGTAAAAGAAGGTAGCTTGCGAGGGATGTAGGTATGACACTTATGACAGGCTGTCTGCATACCGAAGATCAAACTTCTTCACACCGAGCGACTGCATCTCTGTGAGAACAGGTGTCAAAGTCTGCTGTTCCGCGCAGTGCCAAATTTTCTAAGAATAAAGGTATTCTCAAACCAACTATCAAGCATAACCTTTTTCGATCAACCATACTGAATAAATGACGTAAAAAATGAAAATGCACATAAGTAAAGAAAAAATACTTGAATAATAAATTTATTATGCTCTCAAAAATTATTTAGCCCTTTCCTGATGTAAAATAGTATGAGTATTACTGAACACTTCCGACACTAAAGGTACCGGCATTTTTTATGATAAATACTGGAAACATACTATGGTTTTCGTAAAAAACACAGGCTTGGGAAAACGGGCATCTTCTGGTATAAATTCGCGGACGTTCTCAAGTTTCAGTAGCTTTGATGCCCCAAACTGGGCATCAGTTCCAGTGTGCGTCGCATCGCCGCCGTTGCGTCGGTGGACGTTGGCGCATTGTTACTGACAACCAGCACCCGTTGCCACTTTCCGGACACTTTGCATGAGTTTTGAAAATTTATCAGAGAAAGTCATGCTTTCTCACTAACTAGAGCCAAGACGTCGCCCGGTATAAAATAACCAAGAAAAAGGCTTGGTACTGTAGGTCTGGGCCACCCTGAATCTTTCTATGTCCATAAAAGAGGAACTGCATTTTTTCGCTACGACAAAAGATAGATTAGTCCTAAATGAGCATTAATGCATTTACATATTTTGCTACACTAAATTCTGTAGATACTGGCAACATGGGTGCTGATGGACACCGTGGTAGCGGAAATTACCATTTTTTCTTCATAGCGTATAATAGCGAGCTCTGCTGTGCCCTACTAAAGCTGTGATCGTGGTTGATTATTTTATAATTACGTTCACGCCCCTGTTGGGTAGCCAAACAAAGCTCTTATCAGTGCGAAATATCTGGTCATCTCTATGCATCTTAGCTTTTTTTTTTTCCTGGAGGCACTGATTCGTGAATCAGTTCACTTATTTTTTAGAAATTCTCATGACCTGCCTCATTGTTTTTCGGAAGATTTTTCATTCAAACTGCTTCGGTATGCAAATATAAGCACTTGATTGTGGCAGATGTGTGGGCGGATGCCGGCTTATGTTTCGCTGATCCGTATGGTCTTGTTGTAAATACATATAAAGTTCCCTTAAGAATTGGGCCCAGAACGAAAGCTTTTCATACCTCCAGCTATTGGAGAGGGAATAGAGGGGCTCAAAAATGCCGCCATTATTTAAGTAATAAGTAAGAAGTTACCAAAACGATCATATTCTATGCAAAAAATCGTTTCGTTACGACCTATTTTTCTCCTACTTAAACCAAGGTAATTTATTTTTCTTTGCAAAAATAAAAACAAAAATGGCACTATAGTATGAAGCCGTGAACTTTACCTAGAGACTTTGAACTTCACATTAGAATGGGAATAGCGAAGGAGAGCGAGGGTTTCCGAAAGGTAACCTCCCCTCCCTCCCCAAATCAGCTTCAAATCAACCGGAATTGGCCGGAAAAAGCTTCATGTAGCCGAAAATAATATGTAACCCAGTAACGGTATCAACGAGTGTCAAATAGTAAAATCAGGCATTTTGTCAAATGCCTGGGCAAATAATCAAATATTCCAACTCAGATTGAAATTCTAATTCTTTTCCTAATTTCAGACGAAATAATTCATTGCTCCTGCAAGAAAAAATTCTCATTAAAGATTTGCGCACACGATAGTATTTTAAACTATTTTTAGCTCCTGAAGAGATACTGATCTTGAAATTTTCAGCATGTCGTAAAATACAGAATTTATGGAATTTCAACATTTAAAAATATGAGAAGCAGTTGAAGAGAAAGAGACAAATAGAGTTCGTAGCCGTGATTAGGTAATTTTCCAAAAATAGTGAAAAATCGTGAGCTCTTCGCCATAAATTCACAAAATTTTCAAAATTTGACTATCTGCCTAGACATTTGACAAAATGCCTAATTTCACTATATGCCTGCGACATCTCGATGGTATGATCAGCGGAAAACGGCCGATATTGGCCGAGCCAAAATCAGCGGGAAATGGCCGAAAAGGCCCAAATATAGCTGGAAATACCCAAAATTAAACACCCCACAAAAGTCAGCGACTGGTATACTAATGCCGTCATCTACCCTTGTTGGATGACGCCGTGAACGGGATATCTGATGACGTCATCAGTAGCAAACATCCGAAAAGGATCGAAGACATCCCAGAAATATCCTGAAACAGCCGAAAATATCCGAACGGAGTCCGGAAGGTACTAGTGGCTATCGCCTATAGTGGGTGGGGAAGGGAGGGGTGTAACGGGGAAATTTGTCCCGTTTTTACGTTTCTATCTCATGTGTATTCAAACGAATTAAAAAACAAAACGCAACGAGAGGCGCGCATACCTATACTTGGCACGCTGCGTCTCCCTTGACGACAGAGCGTCGCTGCACCGTGCGTGTGAAGAAGGAGAAGAAGAAGAAGAGGAAGAAGAGGAAGAGAAGAAGAAGTTCATCGCTCGTACCGTGACTCGCCGACACGCAGCTCTGCAGACGGTTAAACGAATCTGACTGCCGCCAAAATATGGTAATTTCATATTTTTAGCTTATAAATTTGGAACAAAACTTGAGTGCTTAGTTTTTTTTTTGAAAATTCCAAAACAATGGACCCGTATAGAAGGGGCCGATCGAGCAGACATGAATCAGCAGGCTCTGAATCTAACGCATCTTCCGAAGTGCGGTGAGGGGAGCTTACAGTTCTCTTCATATCACCTATTACCGTCTGCGGTAAAAATTATTAGCTCGAAAAATGCTAAAATCTCAGCGCACAGTTTCTCTTGACTTTTTATTTTTTATTTTTTATTTTATTTTTCAAATGATGCACAACTTAATCACTTTGGTAGCCAATTCCCGCGAGTTCCGAACAAGATCAGAAAATGTAAATAGAAAATATGCAGAAAATGTTGCCGTGGTGCTCAAGCTGACCTGCAGTTGTAGACAAAGCTTTACAAATTTCTCTTTTTTCCTTTTTTTATAAGTTTTTTTCTGTGCTATTTTCATACCTTAAAATTACGGCACCCGAATCCAGGAGCACCACAGTAGTTCACCCGTGCTAGTGAAAGCACTGGCATTCTTTCTCCTGCCCAAGCGGGTATTTTAATTTAAATAGCATCAAAAAAGACCCTTTTGAAAATTTTGAACCTGGAGGGCATGGTATTTTACCTTTTCTTTTTTTAAAATTCTTTTTCAAACAGAAGCGACAAGATAGCTAATATGCAATATTCAAGAACGAGTGATGTCACGGGCATATGATATCTGGCGAATTTGAGAAATATGATTTTATGTGTAACTGTGGCAGTCACAAAAATGGTACGCGTTATCTGGCAGGACCCGCAGCTCCTCGGAACTAAATTAATGTCAACACTGATACTAATGACACGGTTAATCTCCAGGACAGTTTTCGATCCGAGATCGACAACAGTGCTGTCTGGTGACTGTAACGGGAAACGTATGTCAAACGAGGATCGATCGCACCTGCAAAATGATTGAGACGCCACCATGTCATGCGGTCCTACCTAGTTCTAACTTCATTGTGGGAGCTTCGAGACATCTCGATCCGGGTGTTCAAACTACCGCAATGTTACCATACGCTGAAAGAGTTTTCGTCCAATTCTATTGTCTCCCAGATTGCCGTGCTGAGGAAAAACGCCGTATGACCATTCGGGAGTTACCAAATTTCCTTTGATTACATGTTTATTTTTTAGGCAAGTTATGAATACGTTTCGTTGAAACTTCCAGGAACTTTAAGTGAAATTGCGAATAAAATTATCTTAAAATTGGAAGGAAAATAGATATAAGTTTACCAGGAAATTCGTGTCTTATGAAAGGAAATTTGGCAACGCCTAAAGGTTCATACGGCGTTTTTCCTTAGCACGGCAGTACAGGCGTCGAAAAGAAATGGAAGCACTATACTCCGCCAGACATGAAGGAGCGCTGTTATCGGAAATTTGCGTCCGGATGAAACAATTGCATAATGATATCTTCGCGCCAACCTAACGAAACCGTCAAAAATTTTGCACTGGAAGGTGCCACAAGGGTCGGGTAGCGTTATTTTCGTGTAAAGGGTATTCTTATTTAGAACGCGTAAAAATAATGGCTTAATACCGAACGGAAAGAGATGACTTTAACGCCATGTCAGTTCGCCTTCAATTTTTGGTGTAGGCATCACGCGCTCCCACGTGGTCGAATGGTGGTATCACCATGAGTGGCATGCGTACTTGGAGCACACAGACGCGACGAAGTGACTTTATCATTTCAACCAGCCTGCAATTCTAATTCCAGCTGATAGGGACTCTAATATAGCGGCATAGTTGTATCGCCGCAAGGTGGATTGCAAGCTTGAGTTTGTATGGCTATCATACATTAGCAAGACTAACAAATTAAATTAAAATATGATTGGGAAAGTGAGTATTTGAAGCATTGAACTATGAAACATGTGTGTTTAAGAGAATATTTGTTTTAAAAAAAATGCCATGAAAAATGAATGCAAGTGCAAAAACTGAATACTGAGGACAATAAGTGACAATGAAAATTTATCCGTTATGGACGCTACTTCCTTGAAAAACCGCTTGGGTGAAGTTGCGCTCTATCAACGCACCCGTCTCTTTACCTAGAAACAAGGTGTTTGTGCTTAAAAATTGTACCTACTATTTATCAACGCCAGCCGTAAAACTGACACGCTGGTAAGATGTGTAAAGTCATAAAAAGTGAGCGGCGGCAACAGGGACGTGTATCGAGTGTAAATCTCGGTGTAAACAGCAGCAGTTTAGGTGTTCAATGATGTTGATTCCGAACCGAACGGTCCGAACACGGCTTATATTACTCGCCGACAATCAGCACCATGGCCAATTGTTGCAGATAAATGGACACTTTTGGATGGATACCAAGGGATCTGCCTCTGACAGAACTGTGAGGTGCGCACTGCGCTCCCCGACCGCTCCGCGGTNNNTCTGGGGGGGGGGGGGGTGAGGTGATTTTATCGTGTTTAGAAAATGAAATTAATATAAAAAAAACAAAAAAAACAAGATACCTGTATGGTATGAATAAAAAATACCCAAAGCAAATTAATAAAATCAAATAAACACAAACGAAATGAATGGTGAAAACAGGTACATTTTTTTAAAAAACAAAAAGAAAATAAAGTAATATAAAATAAAATTAGAGAGGCTGTATGACTAACTAGACCGTGTATGACGGAACTAGATGAGAAAAACACTTACTATTAAAATTACGTCCATTCCCGTCCTAACGTTAACAAATTGAGTGTAAAAGTCCATTCCTCATGGTATAATCAGTGCAAGAGCCATTGATCCAACGCTTTTGGATAAGAGAATCAGATGGTCTATATTTGAAATATTAATCCAATAGCTTATTATAGCTTACATATCTCAGATGTAATTTCGAAACTAATATATATATACGAAAATAATTATGTTCTAATAACCCTTTTATCAGGCATCTAAAATATGTTCTTCTATCTCTCTTCTCTCTTTTCTCTTATTTTTCTTTCTTTTTTCGAGATCTCGGCAACGTCTGGTCAGTTGGGAACGGTGTGCCACACTCGGACGGAGAATTATTCGGGAGTTGGACGTTGATAGAAGTAACGTTCACTTGGTTTGTTAGCGGTTTGGTGAAGATACTTGGCTCCTGGGCCGTTTTTAGACATTATGCATGTCGACGGGCAAACGAAAACCCGGGTCGGATACTCGGCTACTTATTGTGCTCGTCGGTGATGATCTCGCACGCCCGTTGTGAGGATTTATTGTTGTTGTTGAGCACTCTGACTCCGTCCAAAATTCGGGCTCCCAAATCCGCTATCCGCCCCGCATTAGCGACGTTTATCCCCCCCCCTCCCACCACCCTTCAACAACCGACTCATGCAGGTGCAATATTCAGGAGAATCATCCGCGGTTTTCGTCGTCTTCGCCAAGTTGCATATCGATGGTGAAACTAGCAACGCTGGTAGAGAGTATGGTCATTGGGTCTCTTACGATGAAAAACAAACGGGAAAGCTCTAACATGTAGGTATTGGAGTAACCCTCCGCAGTTAGATTTTTTTGGGGGAAAATGCGATACACAAAGCACAAGGACAGGATTGAAAGAAAAAGACGCGGCTCAAAAGTTGCATTTCTATGATAACGGTAACGCAATAGCCGTGTCAGGTGGAGGCAAATTTTAACAGGTTCAGAAAAAGTCTTCACCCGTGGCAAAAAGTTCGGACGGAGAGAACTGTAAGACGTCATCAAATGATTTAAATAGTTGCAGATTCGTAGATTGGAGGATGCAGAGAGGGCACCCCACAGCTGGAGGACTTTGAGAGGAAATTTTTGAGTGACTCTCTGGGCCCAAAATCACCGATTAAAGCCGTCGTCAAAAGTCCCCAATTATTTTTCTTTCTCTCATTTTGGAATTAGACTTTACTTCTCTATTTTTTGGAAGTGAATAAATGGACCCGATCCGTATAACTCATCGGACCGCCTGCGCCCGCCCGCAGGAGGGAGCTTACACGATGTTCATTAGCGCGCGAATGGGTTCCGACCCCTACTCCAAGCTCCTTAACTTCTCCGACCACAAGGGCCGGCAGTTCTCTCTGCGGGTTCCCAACGGATCGAGGTCAATCAAAGCGTTCCTCCCGCGGATATAGGAGCGCCGGTGAGCATGCCATCCTAAAACACCCCGGCTTCCCGAGTATCTACCAAAAGGGTACCACGGATGTCTGGTATGCCCCAAAGAGAGTTCCAACGGATAATAATTGGACTACATATTGCGATAAAGAATCACAACTTTTGGCTCATTTTAGAAACAACGTATGTACCATTAGTTTCTCTACTCAGGTAGATGCTTTGAGTGCTTTGTTAATGGGTCAGGAATTGTAGATCCTTACTAAAAATGGCGTTCAATTGCTCCTTTCAGGTGACAAACCCCCCGCGACACATCAGAGCTACCTGACGTTGCTGCACCTGACAAACTCATGGACATAATAGAGTCATGAACAGTTAGCTCGAATGAGTGGGACCGCCAACCCCATACCGAAAAAAGAAGTATGATTTGATATGAATGTGACAATCACCAACAGGCTCTATGGTAGCAAATACCGTGACTCCAATTGCATTAACTAAAAGTACGGTGAGTGCTACCGGATGTCTGGTTATCCGTACCTAACGGTATCACTGTGTCAAAAATCAAGGAGACTCGTGATAGAATAGACTATACTTTGGTAAAACTTTCCAATTTTTTTTTCAGTGCATATATCCACAGACAGATCCCCTACGCCAAAATCCTCACCGCGGAGGGGGGGGGGGGGGTATGTGAAGACTCAGTCTGAATCCTGGATTTTAGTTTATAACTCTTATACACGTATTACGTAGTAACCTTCGTCATATGAGTCATAATTTGTTTAATACATTTTTTTAGGGAACAACAAATTGGGTTTGCCACTGGGGAAGCTCATAGGTACTAAATAAAATATAGCGCTAAAATTAGCTTACCTGATTCAATAATACTGCAATTAATAACACATTAATTAACATTTTCACTTTTATTCGAGAACGCAGCGACGCACTCAATTACTACTATGCGTTACAAAACGTTAGCGGTCAGGCTCCTAGGGATTTGTTTCGGTCTCGAAAAATTTTTAGGAAACACTTGAGCATTTTCCCGCGATAAGTTGATGTAGCACCAAAACGCGAATAGAAACTTCCGAGTAACGACCTTTCAGGGGAGGGGGATGAATTTCACTCAACGCGGGTGTATCGTTTTGGCGCTTTTTTCACACACGGACGAAGACACGACAACGAACACGAAAAATGAGTCAGAGATCGGAAACATGGTTGATTTGTTTGAATTTTTTTAAAAAAAAAATTACTGTTTTTTACCAAAAAAAAATGAGCTTGGAAAATTCTTAATCGGAAGGAGGAAAGAGTTTCCCGGCGATATTCCAGACGTGCTGTCGTTTGCGGTTGACGGACTGGAGGAGGCGCACCTATCAGCGGCACAGTTCGAAACTCACTCAGGTCCGTGGACTTCTTCCTTGCCGAGGCACGGTGCGGAGCTGCTGGCGTGACCGCGTGAGGTCCTTGAAGAATATTTACATTCCCTCCCGACTTTCATTCTCCCGTCTTCCTTCCTCTTTCTATCTTCCCTTGCCCACTTCCGCCCCATCCTACGAGCATTTTTCGGGCTGATAAGACCCCCGTGGAAGCCGAAGATTTTCACTTGGACGTATTTCTACCAAAGAGACCTATGTGGCGATGAGAAATGTGGGGTGTGCTCTAGAAATCTGCATAAGAAGCAATGTAAAAGTGGGCGTGGTTCCTTTTGAAGAATTGGCAAAGCGGGATATTGCATTCTATCAAACAGACCTATGTGCAGCTGAGTGCGGAACTCATGAGCCGCGGGCACGGCAAGAGAGCCTTGTGGACAGGGCTCATGAGTTAAAGAGCCCCGACGACGACGTCGACGTCTCACCCCCGCTTTTTCGCATTGCCGCTGACGTCACTGGCGCTTTATTATTCTCATTCACTCTTACGGCCAGAGACTAACGAGCACACCCCATATTTCTCACTTCCACATAGGTCTCTTTGGTAGAACTACGTCCACTTGGGCTACACTTTGCACTGAGGAACCATTAAACTATCTCTGACTCATTCCAGAAACAACATTTTGATGACATCGTGCGAGAAGGAACCGCAGAATATCCTAAGGAAGAGGAGGTCTGTTCGCTTTAAGGCGACCGCGTTTTTGAACACCGCGTAAATGCGTGATAGAACTAGGGACCTGGAATAAAACGGGGGTATTACATGGCTAGAGACGGAGGGGACAACTCTGCAACCCCGTAATTCCAACAGGCCTTGCGGGTCGATTATTGAATTTGATAGACGAAGCAACAGACAAAAAAGACAGAAGAGATATGGAGGGTTCTTATCGGTGGAAGCGGATGGTTGCAATGGTCAAAGTAGGTAGATAATAGACTAGTTATAACGGGAACCTACGATTTACCCCCTTAGTCTATAAGAGCCACTCACTTCAACCAATACGATCGCTCCATACTTCCTATGTCTTCTTTGACTATCTCTTTATCTATTAATTTCAATAATCAGCCTGCAGGTGGGCTCTCTCTTCTTTCTATCTCTTACCGGTGAGAATTGGCCTTGATGGAGTCGGTGAGGCCGTCTAGAGACTGGCAAGCTTTACCGAGAGCTTGGTGCCGGGTAGAAAAGTTCCTGAGCTGAAGTCAGTATGATGCGCGCTGGCAAAGCCACGGTTCTCCAAATTCGCCTTTGAGCATTTTGAGCTCATTTCCGGTCTGCGTAAAGGTACCGATCTATGAGGATAAGAAAGTTTTGATGATTTGATTTTATGCACCTTAAACTTGAACTGAGAAGTAATGAAGATAATTGCAGCCTCTGATTTCAAGACATAGTTGAGAATCACGTAAAAAATCAGGTTATTCCGTCATTTTGGAGTAGTTGTGGCCATTATAGGTCTCTTTTAAGGTTCTGAACCGATCGCAGAGTGTCTTGAAATGTTGATGATTCGATTTTCTACATCTTGAGGCTTTGCCAAAGAGTGCAAGTATACTTGCTGGTTGAAGGACACAATCGACTTAATGAATGTTTCAAGAAAATGATCAGAAAAATCTTGACAATCTCTGAATCTATCTCAGGGTTGCCTATACCAAAACACTTTTTTTTTTATCATGAATTCATTCTTGGATTGTTTACTTTCGTCGCAAGGAAGACGAAAGAAGTTCCCCAACGGTAAAAAGCAAACATACTTAATTTATACGATAAAGTTAAATAAACAGGAGATGATTTCGACCAATATTTGCTCCCGATCTATATTATTTTAGGATTTGAGGGTTGGTATTGATCCATGAGGGTGGTGAACGGCGGCATTGTCAGATGCATAGCCCTGTTCCCTTGTCATTCAGAGTCGGGTTAACGAGCTCAAAAATGAGGTTGCCTATTAATCTCGCTCAGAAAAACGAATTCCTACCAGAGAATTGTACATTTTCAGACTTGGATCAACCCCGGAATTTTTTTCAAGATTTAGATTTCACCGCATTTTTTTCAATTTTTAGACGTTTTTAAAATTATATTTTTTTCCCATTGTTCTATTATATTTTATTGAAAAGAGTAGAAAAGTTTTTAACACATTCTGAGAGGTTTTTTGTGACTTTAAAAGTCTCAAAACGTTTCTTATGTAAATTTTTGAAAATGTTTAAATATTTCAATACCCCATTTTTAAAGATATTTCTAGGCCATGCGCTCTTTAGCCACCGCCTTGCGCGGAGGAATATGAACTTACGTGCCTTGAGGTGAACCTTCAGCATCAATTCCAAAAAAAAAACACCTCTTTGCGGTGCTAAAATGTTGTTCCAAATCAGCAATGATTTTAATATATCACAACAGATACACTCCATATCCTGATTCATAAGTTCTGGGAGCATAAGTATGAAATTTGTAAACTTTAAAAGGAGCTTTGAAAGTTAAATAGTAAAATTCAGAAAAAATTGGTCCCATTTTCTCTGATCGAGTACTATAATGAGAGCGAAAGGGGTAGCTCACAGCAAGATCCTGGTAAAAATTGGCGATAGGAGCTGCGTTTCAAAATACCATAGGAGTTCCTATAGCCGACTAAAGAAGGCTATTTATTGAACATCATATAGCTGGCTTTAGAAAACGGAGCAAATCATATAGCCGGGCTATACGAAGCTATAAAAAGTATACAGTCGGGCTATAGTTTCTATCGCCGGGCTTTACACTTGATCGCCATTGGCTGTATAAAAGGCTATCAGAAATTGTGTAGAAATTCGTGTGCGTTGAAAATCATTAGGTTTGATACGGAACTCTCTTAATACTAACAAAACACGCATTATATTTTCTTTTAAAACATTTTTTTTTTCATCAATTAAAATGAGAAAAATCCATAGAGAGTGTGCAAACATTTCAAAATCATGAGTTGAAAAACGCTGACTCCGCGAGATTAAATATTAGAGCCTAACACAAAGCGGAGCGGCGACGCACTGGCGCCTACAAACCTAACAGGGATACTTCACGCATTGCGCAATGCGTGAAGTATCCCTGTTAGGTTTGTAGGCGCTAATGCGCGTTTCGCACTCTCTGCCCGCCCGCCGCGCCGCAGCGTACCACGGCGTCTGAAGCAACTATTTCACACCAGGGGTATTGCACAGCATCATAAGAAATTGAAGGCGCTCCAACATATTAAGAATGACAGGCATCCTTCAAAAGTACGGAGCTTTCCTCGCAAAATAAATCAAGATACTACGGCACAAAAAGAGAGCGGTAGTCCAAAAACTAACTAAGTCCTAGTATCCGTATTTAGTAACGTTTAGCATAAACTTTATCGTCTGGCTGTTGCTTAATCGCCATCGGCTATAAAAGGCTATAAGAAATTGTACAGCCGGCAACAGAAGCTGTTGGAAATCTTACAGCCGGCTTTAGGTCTATGGTATTTTGGAACACAGATTCTACTGCGAATTTTTACCAGGGGAGTGGGATATACACAACTTATATACTGATTGTGAGAACAATTTCTCCCGATTGGTCGCATTAAATTCATTTTATACTTACCCCTGCTTCCACCCGGGATCAAGTTTTGGCGCTTTAGAAATTACATCTGCGACCCTTTTTGGTGCCAATAGGAAGAGGAATGCTTTAGCTGCAACTTATGACTTTCATCAATTATTTTGAAAGAGCTCTCTCGAATGATCGCATTAACTCAATGGCTCATGGTATAAGTTGTACGAATTCTATTAACGTACCTAAACGCAAAGATCATAACACAGCGCCGGAGAGTAATTCATTCCGGTTGGTTTTTTGCACGATCGTAACGTGAGTGTATGATGCCGCCTAATCTATACCTATCAGTGCTGGCCACTTTCATGAGATAAATGGTCTGTTTCCGATAACGTTTCCTATCGGTTTTTTTCCCGGTGCGCACATCGCGATCTTTAACTTGCTTTAGTGTGAATATCGGGAGTTTTTCCGTTTGCGTTCGGGATATCGGCGGCGTTTTATTTCGCTCATGTAACTCCTTGAGTCGGAAGAGTCTGTTGTTGAATCTGTGTAAAACTACAATAAAGTATCAACGAACCATGTGCAGTTGCATATACATAGGAAACTGTCGAAGGAAACGCAGCGGAAAATTGGGTCATTTGCTGGCGGAATCCGCACTCGATAGATCGCGTGGCCCCGGAAGTAAAGGGTGCTTGATCTTCCTTGAGAAATAACTGTATAACATGAATATTGCCATGCCAAGAAACAACGCCGTATGAGCTTCCAGGGATTGCCAGATTTCCTTTGAAAATGAGTGAATTTCCGGGAAAACTACGGAACTACGCTCCTTGACCACTTCGCGTCACACGCGTTGTGTGTTACGCGTTACTCTAATGATTTTATATTATTTTTTGGAAAATCTGTGAATATTTTTCGTCAAATTTCAAGGTATTTTATTGCAATGTAATCTAACGTATCTAAGAATAACAAGTGAAATCATATATTACTTTTTCCGGATGATTATTTTTTTGGAGGGTGGCTCCTCTGATGAAAAGGTGTATATCTATGTCCACATGAACTTCGGAAAGATAGAGTTATTCAGAAGAGCGACATTTTATGTAAGAGCCAGAAATAGAGTAGTTCCTTATCACATAATGTAGTTCAATGGCTGAGCTGATCACGGAATCGTATGTTGATGCTTGATTTTTGCAGATTAGCTAAAAATAATAAGATCTGTTAAAAAAGCAACTTGCTACAATTTTAAGCTAATCTACAAGAATCAATAATCAAAACACAATTCTGTGCCCAGCGCAAGTGACCTTTTGAACTTTCCTTGGTGAGGAAAAACAAGTCCCGGAGAAGAAAGCACCGTGGCGTGCCCGAAACGCGTGAGGTATTCTTGCAGTCTTGTGTGGGCTAATATGCGTTTCTTCACGTCACGGCAACTGACCGACAGCACCGCGTTTGGCGCAATGCGAG